GGGCTGAGTAAAATTTCCACAGGGAGGTGACCTGCGTTTGAATCATGCAGACTGGTCCCAGCCCAAGGGAGACCCTTCGAAGCATGACAGTGACTAATGAGTCTGGTGGGGCTGGTGGCACGGATGGCCAATGACTGTGCTTCATGTGACTCCACAGGTGACGCTGACAGCCCTCAGTCCCTCCCTGGGGGTGAGGTGTGGGCGAGGGCAACTGCAAAAGGAAAAAAGCCTGCCCAGGTCAGGCGCTGGGACACAGGCTGGCATACCAGGGAGGCCCAGTGACAGGAGAAAACGGAGCTGTGTCAGGGGCACGGATACCTTTCAAAGAGCTTCAGGTTCCTTGGAGAAGGCCACAGTTCCTGGAAGCTGGCACATGCCCACACGCTGGCGTGGTTGTCCACCAGGTATTTCAGGTGGGAGTGCACCTGCAGAACAACAGAAGTGGGGGGGATTACCACGGGCCCTCCCAGAAGCCCCACTCCTGGAGCCCTTGAACATGGGACAAAGACAGATGGAGGGCCCCCTGTGGATCAAAGTCATGGCTGCTTTAAGAGATGGAAGAAACAAGTTTCTCAGAGGCTCTAAAGGTGGGGACAGTGCTGCCAGAAGGGGGAAGAAGCATCCAAACTGAGAAAGGGGGAGACGCCCCTGTAAGGGTGCATCCCCTACTTGATTCTAACGGGAGCAAGTAGAACAGAATTATGGTTTGTGCTCCTCTACCTGGGGCTTTGCCAGTGGGAACACGGCTGGCATCTGGAGGTCAATGGAGGGTCTAGAAAAAGACCAATAAACTCAATACCACCCTGGTCAGAGGCTGGAAGTGCCCCAGCTGGGAGCCCTGAGCCCAGGCGAGCGTTTCAGGCGCTGAAGTTTCCATTACTATTGAATACTCAGCACGCGTGGATATTATGACCACACAGAGGTGGCTTTGGGAGTCAGAGAAACAAGTTCCTGGTGGACTTTTCCCACCAATTTGCGGTACGCCCTTGAGTAAGTCAGTCTGAAGGAGGCTGCTGTTGAGTATGTGCAAACTAACTCCCAGGGTCCCTTTCAGGGCTCGATACTACATGTACTACATGTGGTTTGTCCTCGTGAATGCATTTTTGTTTTCTTTAATGCTCTCTTATTCTTAAGAGGTGAGAACTTCACCACCACGTTAGGGTCGTTTCTCTGTCAGACATTGCAATGAACGGATTCAAAACACACTGCACTATGTTTCAGCTTTTCGATTGCAACAACCTCAAACACCTAGTAACAACATCACGCTTGTTGCCTCTTCCCTCTTTTGTAGCCAAAATGTTGTTCTGACATTGAAGAACGGGAAGCCCTGATGGGACAACCAACAAGTCAGGCCAACAAGCTACAGGGCTGACGCCACTTTAATCTGGCGACTTACAGCTCGGACAGCCAGGATGTCCCCAACAGAAAGCCACTTCAGGATATGAAAGAGCACATCTTCAGGGAGGCTCAAGATGGTTAGGTTTCGGGGTCTCCTCTTTATTCTTCTCTTTGTAGGGTAACAGAAACACTTGGCACACCGGCAGTGGATCACTGAGGAAGAACAGCAGAATGGTGTCCGGGATGTGCCGACGGGCACAGTTGTATCTGAAGACGAATGAACAGAAGCACCGGCCGCATTTCTGGTCCCAAACAAGCGTTAAATAAAAGAGTGGGGGTCCGCGGATTCCCGCAGCCACCGTCATTCATTCAGAGTCAGGAAGTGCTTAAGGCAAACAGCAGGCGAGCCTGGAACTTGGCTACTCGGGCAAGAGAGGCCAGGGCGGATGCTGGTTCTGCCCTCCGACCCCTGCCCATCTCCGGGACGATACAGCAGGAGCCCCTCGCCCCGCTCACCTGGCGTCCTCCCCGCTGCCCGCCCGCGGGACCCCCTCCGCAGGCCTTCCTGCCCTGCCCGGCTCCGCACCGGGGTCGCCTACCAGCAATTACCGGGCCGCGCGGGGCGCCTGGGGCCCACGGGGTAGCTGGATGGGGCCGCCACACCGTCCTCGTCCCCTCGCTCTAGGCGGGTCGCGCTACTCTCCGGCCGGGACAGGTGCCCGGTCCGGCGCGGGGCGTTCACGCCAAGCCCACTCGCACCCGCGGCGCCACCGGGCATTTAAACCGCGCGCCGGACGGGCGCCGCAGTGACGCCCCGCACGCGGGGCCGAAGGCCCCGAGCCGCCCCGCCCGGTGTCCGCCCGCAGCCCGCGCCCGGCACTCACCACCGCCGCTCCCCATCGCCGTCGCCGCCGCCAACTCCGTCGCCCGTGCCCCCGACAGCCGTCAGCCCCGCGCGCCCAGCGCAGGCGCAAACCTGCTTCGCCGCCCGCCCGAGTTTTCAAATGCGCCCGGCCCTCCCATTGGCCGGCCGGGGGGGGCGCGCGTCGCCGGGCCGCCGGGCCCCGGCCCCGGCCCCGCCCCCACGCCCGCGCCGGGCGCTCGCGATTGGCCACGCCAGGACGCGAATTCGAACGCCGGACATTGATTGGTGGATTCCACGCGGACGCCCCGCCTCCCCGGGCGGGGCGGGAGGGGTCCCCCGGGGAGCGCGGCGTAGCCCAGGCTGGCGGGGGCGTCTCTGTGTGTGCTGAGCCCGGGCGGTTCCGGCGGCGGGGGGCCAGGCTAGCGGCGTCCGTGGAGGCCTGTGCGCGCCCGCCGCGCCCCTGGCCCTGGCCCTGAGGCCGCGCGCCCAGCCTCCGGCCCACGCGTCTGGTGGGGAGACTGCTGCTCGGACGGCCGGGCCACGGAGGGCTGGGACCGGAACGCCGCCCCTCCAGCGCCTCGGCCGGCGCCTTCTTCCCGCGAATTGTGGCTCCGGCGTCCCTCGGGCAGGACGTCGCCCCGTCTGTCCCCGCTGTGTCCTCCCTGCCCCCCGGGAGCCGGCTCCACTGGCTGCCGCCGGCCACCCCGAGCACCGTGTCAGTCAGGACTGGGCAGTGCCCTTCGGCCGGGCCCGACTTTCACTGGGGGAGCGCTGGACGGAGGAGGACACTCCTCACCCGTGCGCGCCCCCCGCCAGCCCCCCCGCCTCCCCTCCGGCCGGCCCCTGGGTCGCCTGGGCAGCCGGGCGGGCGCACACGAGAGCCACGCTGCCCATTCTGCCGCAGGGGGCAGGGAAGTACACGGACGGCCGCACCCGGGGTGTGAGCGGCCCCACTGTTAGAGAGGCCCCTGGACCTGGGGTTGAAGCAGAGGGGACGGAGCCCCAGCGAGCGGGCTTCGGGGGCTCCTCAGAGGGCCCCTCAGACGGCCCGTGACACCCAGAAGCATAACAGGAGCCCAGGGCGGACTCCGGCTTTCTCATCCTTCCTCACACCTTTGGTTACTGCTTCCAGCCGTGTTACTGGGCTATCCGCCTCCCCTGCCCTGTGGCTTCGTTGCTGGGCTCCCCCAGGGCAGTGGCGTGCCCTTTCAGCCTGGATGCAGGGAGCACCTTGAAGGGCTAGTAAACCATTGTCACCATGCCCACTCCCCTGGGGAGCCCAAAACATCGTCCTTGCTCCCTTAAGTCCCTCAGGTGTCCTCTCCCTGCTTCCTTATGTCCTCATTGTTTTTTTCTTTATTCAGAGGTAAAGTTTTCATATTTTTCGGAAAACCAGTGCTCTTCTTTTGGCCATGCTGCGAGCCCTCGCCTGCAGCCTGCGTCTGTCACCCTGGCAGGAAGAACCTGGGGGGGCGATGGGGTGGGGGGGTGCCAGAGCCTGTGGGGGTGACAAGCCGCTCCCAGCGGGCGAGGAGAGCCCGCTTTCCACGGGACACCCCCCACGCAGGAGGGTTGAGAACTCACTGGAAAAGTCTGGATTGTGGGGGGTCTGGGAAGTTCCCGACTTGAAGATGGTGGTTGAAGTCATGGGGTGGGGGGTGAATGAGAATGATTCAAGGACAGCAGGGTGCAGAGGTGGGAGTGAGGGGAAAAGGCTGTGGGCGGGACCCTCTGAAATGCCACCAGCAGACACAAGGAGAGAGAGTGGAGAGACCAGCGGGGTGGCCGCCAGGGGTGGAGCAGTGCCGCAATTTAGGGTGAGTGGTGATCGCAGCCTCCTTCTCTACTGCTCTGGAAGTCCGCTGAGGGACAGGAGACACTGCTTTCCAGGAGCTTGGTTGAGAAAGGAGGGAGAGAGCTACCTGCAAAGGCTGGAGAAAGGCTCCGTGACAGGGCACGTCCCAGAGGAGTGCACAGAGGCTGGCCCGAGCCTCGGCCTGGAGCACACAGGCCGGCACTCAGTGGCTGTCACACCTGAGCGGCGTCAGAAGTGCCTTTTAACACAGATTGCCGGGTCCCACGCCAAGTATTTCCAATTCGCCAGGTCTGGGGTGGGGCCCAAGAATCTGGATTTCTAGCATGTTTCCAGCTGCTGCCTAGGAACCCCACTTTGAGAACCTCTCTGTGACTTGAATCTTGGTTCCACTTCCTGTTGACTGTCGGAAGTGGATGGATGTCCCTTAGGTTTCAGGTTATTCATCTGAGTAACACTTTATGGGTTGATGGGCTGCCTTGTGCAGGCTCACCCCTAGGATTTGTAAGGACCGGGGGTGGGGGGCCGGTGCAGAGATCAAACGGAGCCTCATGAATCCCAATACTCAAATGCCGAAAAACTAAGACTTCGCTTAGCAAACTTGTCAATCTCCTTTCTCTTGCTTTCAGAAGGACGGTGTTATGAGAACCGTGGTCACCCCCAGGCCACTGCACCTTAAAAGGACATGGCAGGTGCACCTCTGAGGCTGCTGACACAGCCAGGTCTCAGGGAGGCCATGCAGCCACCCAGTAGGACTCAAGGGGATCGTTTTCCACTGAAATGGAACAAGGTTCTCCACCAGGCCTCTAAAGTGAGAGGGCCCAGTGTCACAGAGAGCCACCCAGACCCTGAACTGAGCTCACTGTGTCTATGAGCTGCTTTTGTACTCCTTGCAGCATTTGGCAGACTGTGCACTCTTTATTATAGGAAGTAAACATCTCAGGGAAGTGGAGAGGGAGGCTGGGAGGGAGATGGAGAGAGAAGCTGGGAGGGAGGTTCAGAGGGAGGCTGGGTGGGAAGTAGAGAGGGAGGTGGAGAGGGAGGCTGGGAGGAAAATAGGGAGGCTGGGTGGGAGGTGGAGAGGGAGGCTGGGAGAGCAGTAGAGAAGGAGGCTGGGAGGGCAGTGGAGAGGGAGGCCGGGAGGGCAGTGGAGAGGGAGGCCGGGAGGGCAGTGGAGAGGGAGGTGGAGACGTTGGTGAATGGTCTGCTGGCTCTGCTTGCCCTTGTTTGTGTTCCTCTTTGGTTGGATGCACAGAGCAGGTGAAGCTCAGGAAAATGTCCTCCAGAGACACTTGGTTGACACAGTAGTCGTGCAGCCTGAATTTCGTCTTGGCTTGCTCCAGAATGTCAAACACCTTTTGGGAAGAAGGGAGGCCACTGTGGATAATGGGCACAAGGGAAGGGAGAGGAGGCAGCAGAGAGTAGGAAGAGGGAGGGTCTTGGGTGTGATGAAGCCCCTCAAAGACCCATCTCTTTTTCAGCTGTCCCCAGAGCACTTCCCAAGAAGTCAATCCTAGGGAAGTCAGCTGTCTGATCTCAAGGAAAGGCACTGCCTGGACATGGGGCCAGCAGGCAGAAGCCCCAGCTGGATCTCTGGCGTGCTGTGGGACCCTGCACATGCGGTGTCCCCTCTCTGGACCCGCTTCCCTCTCTCTGAAATGAGGGGTAGGAGGAGCTGAAAGTCTCTTCCGGCTCACAAGTCCTCGTGTTTTATGAAATCTGCGTGAATATTACCGTGCAGATGGCAGAGAAAAAAATGCTGTGAATGCAACGTTCATGAAGAAAAGGAAACCCGTCACCCCAGAAAGTAGGTGACATCACAGGTTTGCTCCCTCTGATGCCCAGATACATGCTCACCTTGGCCCAGCTGAGGTCATCCCCGGGCAGGTGGTAATAGACCATCCCTTGGTGCTCATCTTCCAGGACGCTGCCTGCACGGAGAGGACACCGTGTTCCCCGGAGGGCCTGGGACCATGGAGTCACGGCCCTCCTCCCAGGGGTCAGGGACGGGGGTGGGGGGGTTCGGCAGGGCTGAGGCATAGAGTCCCTCTGTGTGGTGGCCCTCACCTGGGAAGGTCAGGGTCACGAACGCCTTGAACTCCTCCAGCGCCTCCTGCTGCCCGTCGCCCCGCACCTTGGCCTGCAGGGAGTAGCCGCTGCCAAACTTGCTCTTGAGGTGCTGGGGGCTGCCCAGGCACTTGAACTGACCCTGCACCATGATGGCCAGCCGGGTGCACAAGGCCTCGCATTCCTCCATGCTGGGGAGAGGGGTGGAGGCCTGACGGGGGGGCAGGGGATGCCGACGCCCGCCTTCCGCGACAGAGGCTCCCGCAGAGAGGCCGGTGTCCACGGCCAGATCGAACCGCTCCTGATTCCCACGTTCAGAGAGGGGCCCGCATGGCGAGGCTGGGCGCGTTCCTCAGGGGCTGCGACCCAGCTGCTGCCAGGTCTTCTGTGCCCCCGGCCCCACCCAGCCAGCCTCTTCCACCGACCCCCGGAGACTCCGGCTCTACCTGTGGGAGGTGACGACGATGGCCTTGCCGGACTCGCGGGCCCGGGCCACGGTGTCCCAGAGCAGGTGCCGGGCCACGGGGTCCATGCTGGTGGATGGCTCATCCAGGAAGACGACCAAAGGCTCTCCGAGCAGGGCGACGGCTGCGCTCAGCTTCCGCTTGTTGCCGCCGCTGGGAGCAGAGGGGGCAGGGTTGCAGTGAATGGCAACCAACAATCAGCAGCAGCCCACCCGCCCTAGATACACACACACACGCACACACACACACACACACAGGCTTTCTGTTCTCTGTGGGGAAAGCATCCCACAGCCCCTGAGTGGGGCTTTAGTGACATGGCCCGCCACCCTCCTGTGAGGTTGCACTGTGACTTGGCTGTCCACAGTCTACAGGTCATGGCCCCGGACACAGGGGTCAGTCCGCGGAGAGCACATGGTCCGTGAGTCTTCTCTGAGGGTCTCTGGTGTTGGGGGCTTAAGAACAGAGGACCATTTTAGCGAACTTTTTAAAAAATGAACACATGGCATTTACAACGTGCTTGGGGGCAGTTCTAAACTTTGCAAGTGTTAACTCGTTTAATCTTCAAGAGATGCCGGGAAGTACAAAAACCTGTCTGAAACCCTAGCCAGCAGGGAGGGAAGAGCCAAGCGACTGGCCCCTGGGACTCTCCACTGTCCCTGTCCCAGGAGTGCAATACTGTCATCAGCCTCCAGGGGGCGCTGCACACACCGGAGGAAGTCCTGAGACCGGCCGGCTTCCGATGCTAAGGGCACTGGGTTCCCAATCAGTGGCCACGGAGTAGGGAGGAAGACCCCTTCAGTCTCTCACCTGAACATCGGCAGCTCAGATGCCCCAGACACAGCGAGATACGGTAACGGGCGAGCCTACCAAAAATCGAGGCCCTCTGGAACATGCGGGACGGTAACACCTGTGATGCTACCTGTTCTTACCCACCTACCCACCTCCCCCCGGGGCGGAGCGGGAGCAGTGCCTCCGGGCAGCCCAGACCACAGACCCCTGCATCTGCAGGATGGGCCCGCCTCCTGCAAATCTGCCCCATGGCACGCGTACTGCACAGCCACCCCAAACCCGGAGCTCACGGTCTTGGCCTGCACGGAGGAGAGCGGGAGCACCTAACCTTAGTGGGGGCGGAGGCCTCACCTGTAGGTCTTCACCAGCTTGTCCACGTTCCCATGCATGAGTAAGTCGTCAAGAATTTGTTCCACGGGGTGCCTGGGTGGCTCAGTGGGTTAAGCCGCTGCCTTCGGCTCAGGTCATGATCTCAAGGTCCTGGGATCGAGTCCCGCATCGGGCTCTCTGCTCAGTGGGGAGCCTGCTTCCTCCTCTCTCTCTCTCTGCCTGCCTCTCCATCTACTTGTGATCTCTCTCTGTCAAATAAATAAATAAAATCTTTAAAAAAAAAAAAAAAAAGAATTTGTTCCACGCAGGTGGCGATGTGGCACTCGGGGACGCCCCGGATCTGGGCGTACAAGACCAGCGTCTCCCGGCCCGTCATGTGGTTGAGCAGGGCGTCAAACTGAGGACAGTAGCCAATCTGGGACCGCACCTGGGGTTGGAGCACAGCCCAAGAGGGGGGCCCATCAGAAGGAGAGCCGCCAGTTGCGTGCAGGGCCTGGACACGCAGCCTGGCCTCGCCCCCGCCAGGCTCCGGCCCTGCTCTGAGTATGGGCCGTGTGCACGGACGTGCGCTACGTGGGGGGAGTGGGACAACAGTGGCATCAGGGAGCCCAGATGGGGTGCTCGCGGCCGGGCCACTGTCTGTGTATACGCACACATGGGGCCCTTCCCCCTGCCTGCCTGGCATGAATCCTCAGTGCCCACCGCCTCCCTGCCTCTCGTTACCAAGACGGCATCTGGGCAGTAGAAGGTGCTGTATTCCCCCCGCTAAGAATATTTTCTTTTTTTTTTTTTTAAATATTTTATTTATTTATTTGTCAGAGACAGAGGGAGAGTGAGCAAGCACAGGCAGACAGAGAGGCAGGCAGAGGCAGAGGGAGAAGCAGGCTCCCCGCCGAGCAAGGAGCACGATGAGGGACTCGATCCCAGGACGCTGGGATCATGACCTGAGCCGAAGGCAGCCGCTTAACCAACTGAGCCACCCAGGCGTCCCAAGAATATTTTCTATTAGACGTGTAATCCGTAAGTAGGTTTCCTCTGTAGAACACTTGCAGGAAGGCTGCTAGAACGTCAGCTGGCTCCCAGCAGAGGACTGGTTGTGTGTCTGTTATTGCCAAAACACTATCCTCTGCCGTTCTGCAAATCACCTTTCTAACTCAGCCTGATGTCTTTTTTTTTTTTTTTTAAGATTTTATTTATTCATTTGAGACAGAGAGAGAGCGAGCATGAGCAGGAGGTAGGAGCAGAGGGAGAGGGAGAAACAGGCTCCCCTCTGAGCGGGGAGCCTGACATGGGGCTTGATCCTGGGACCCTGAGATCATGACCTGAGCTGAAGGCAGATGCCCAACCAACTGAGCCACTCAGGCGCCCCTCAACATTATGTCTTAAAGATTTTTCTCAGTCAAGAAATACGTGTCTAATCCAATTCAGTTGAACTGCTACTTTGCCAGTCAGGGAAGTCTTCTAGATTTTATTTAGCTGTTTATTAAAAAACTCAGGCACATGTGAGTTATTTCCCTTTTTGGCTTTATAAACTTGCATTGAATTGTGCCCTCGTTTGTGCCCCTGGCCAAGGGCTCCCCTGAAGTAGATGATGAAAGTGGTCAGATACCATTCTTGAGAAATAGCCAATGCTCTTCTTCCCATCTGTGTCCCCACGGAAGCGAGGAGCCATTCTGGGTGCCCCTGGTAGGGGCGGCGTGCTGTGCTCTGACCGGACGCAGACGGGGACACCACCTGGATGGAGTGAACGAGGGGAGAATGCACCGGGAACATCACACCGCTGAGCGTGGTGATGACATCTGCCTGAAGACATCTGCCACCAGGAGCAACATGCAGGCAAGCGACTCACACTACGAGATATGAGCATTTCTGGTAGGTCGCTCTCATCAGGTGATTTTAACCTGATGATTCTCCTATTTGTAGTTTGCTGAAAATTGTTTAGTCATGAACAAGGTAGAGGGTTGTTTTTGGTTTTGGTTTTCTTTGTTTTTTGACTGTTTTGTTTTTAAAGATTTTAATTGTTTGGGAAGGCGGGGAGCAGCAGAGGCAGAGGGAGAAGCAGACTTCCCACTGAGCAGGGAGCCTGATGTGGGGCTGGAGCCTGCGACCCTGAGTGACAGCCTGAGCTGAAAGCAAACGCTTCGCCGACCAAGCCCCCCAGGAGTCCCAAGAAGGCATAGATCTTTGACCCGTAGTTCCATTCACGTCTGGTTTGAGTCTCTATAGGTTTTCTATCTCTTGAAACAGTTTTGGGGTAGAAGCCTTGAAAATGTAATGTGATATAAAGAAAATGAAGGAATGTAATGTTCTTACACACCTGAGCCTGTAGTACACTGGGGCTGGGCTAGGGTGGCCACAGACACTGTTCAGCGTGGGCCAAGGACAACCCCTCAGTGGAGCCACACGATTCCGGGGCGATGAGCGTGGCTCACGGAAACGCGTGTCACGTCCAAGCTGTGGCTGGGAACACCAGCACATCCTGGTAAAAATATAGCTTAGAAAACACAAAAGAATGCTTGAAAGGGCTTGTCCATCTAAACAGTGGTGAGAAGGAGGCAGAGTGAGGAGTTCACTGATGAGATGAACCCGTGCGAGATTTCTAGGAGAAAGAGGAGGGATGGAGGGGCAGGCTGAACTAGACGTAAATCCCCCATTTCTAACGGTGAGGTCACGTGGATGCCAGGAGGCAATGTGAAGAAGGGCTGTGGGGAGGCCGACGTCCGATTTCCTGGAAGATGCCATTTGATTCTAAATAACACAGAGAAATGTACATTTCTAGTCCCTTGAGTTTATGGGACAAGTTGGTACTTCTGCGTGAGCTTCAGGAAAGGTCTGCGGGCTGGAGGGCTGGTGACAGTAAGACCAGGTTCAGAATCTGTCCACGACCAGCTGCTGTGTCCCTTCTCCTCCTCTCGCTTCCTTTCCTCGTTTGTTTTTTGGTTCATTCCTCCCTTCCCTTTTTTAAGATTTTATTTACTTATCTGAGAGAAAAAAAGACCATGTGTGCGAGTCGGGGGAGGAAGAGGGAAAGAATCCCATGCTGACTTTGTGCTGAGTGCAGAGCCGGACGTGGGACTCGATCCCTCGACCCTGAGACCATGACCAGAGCTGAAATCGAGCCGAGTGCTGAACTGAGTCCCCCAGGCGCCCCGTTCCTTGCCTTTTATAGCAGCTTTATTGAGACGCAACTCACGTGCCATGGAATTCACCATATTCACGAATTGAATGTATACAATTCTGTGGTTTTTAGCATACTTAGAGGGGTGCCTTTGTGATCACAGTCAAGTCTAGAACATTTCATTTCCCCCAAAGAAACCGCATACCCGTTAGCATTCACTGCACTGCCCCCGGCAGCCACTGGTCTCCAGATTTGCTTCTCTTGGGCGTTTCACCCAAAGCAAATCATATAACATATGGCCTTGATTTAAAAATTGTTTTTAAAGATTTATTTATTTATTTTTGAGAAAGAGAGTGTGCAAGGAGGAGAGCGAGGGCAAAGTGGGGCAGAGGCAGTGGCAGAAGCAGGATCCCCGTGGAGCAGGGAGCCTGATGCGGGGCTCCATCCCAGGACCCGGGGATCCTGACCTGAGCCGAAGGCAGACGCTTATCTGACTGAGCCACCCAGGCGCCCATTAAATAAATTTTTTTTTTTTTAAGATTTTATTTATTTGACAGAGAGAGATCACAAGCAGGCAGAGAGGCAAGCAGAGAGAGAGAGAGAGGAAAGCAGGCTCCCTGCTGAGCAGAGAGCCCGATGTGGGACTCGATCCCAGAACCCTGAGATCATGACCTGAGCCGAAGGCAGTGGCTTAACCCACTGAGCCACCCAGGTGCCCCCATTAAATAAATTTAAAAAAAAAACTTAAAAGGGGCTCCTGGGTGGCTAAGTCAGTTGAGCATCCAACTCTCGCCTTTAGCTCAGGTCATCATCTCAGGGTCCTGAGATTGAGCCCCACATGGGGCTCCGTCTTCTGCGAGGAGTCTGCTTCTCCCTCGCCCTGGGCCTCTCCCCCTATTTGCAAGCTCGCTGTCTCTTAAATAAATAAAATCTTAAAAAAAATTTATTTAAGGAACACCTACACCCAACATGGGGCTTGAACTCCCAACGCCGAGATCAGGAGGCACACGCCCCTCCCACGGAGCCCACCAGGCGTCCCTGATACGTGGCCTTCCGTAATTGGCTTCTGTCACCACATCCCGGTTCCAGGTCCGGCCGCCTCATAGCCGGTGTCCGTCCTTCATTCCTTTACGCAGCTGGATGGCACCCTATCGTACGGATAGACCACATTTTGCAAATCCACTCCTCTCCTGACCCACGCTGGACTTGTGAATCTGCCGCTGTGGCCGGGCCCTGTGCTGACTTGATGTTCCGGCCCACGAGTACCTTCCCCACGGTCTTCCCACTGGTCTTCAGTCTGTTTCTACCGAGTGCGCTCCCTGATGCCTCGGGAGTTCCGTCCCCCAGCTTCTTCAGGGCTGCCTGTCCTGTGTGCCCTGGGCTCCTCCTCCTGCTTGTGCCTGCTCGTCCTAGGTCACATAATTGTTCTCATTTTCCTGCTGTGCCCCGTACTGGCTTCTCGTCCCCCCAGAGACTATGGCGTGTGTCCTTGATTTAGTGCTGGGTGCTCGTTCCTGGAACTAGGCCCCTTAACTCCATTTACGCCCTGTGGCCGGCAGGCATCACCGTCGTGTCCCATCACAGCGTATGTATTTCGAACCTCAGAAGACGTTATTATTATTATTATTATTATTTTTAATTTTATTTTTTATAAACATATAATATATTTTTTCCCCAGGGGTACAGGTCTGTGAATCACCAGGTTTACACACTTCACAGCACTCACCATAGCACGTACCCTCCCCAATGTCCATAACCCCACCACCCTCTCCCTACCCTCCTCCCTCTGGCAACCCTCAGTTTGTTTTGTGAGATTAAGAGTCACTTATGGTTTATCTCCCTCCCAATCCCATCTTGCTTCATTTACTCTTCTCCTACCCCCTTAACCCCCATGTTGCATCTCCTCTCCCTCATATCAGGGAGATCATATGATGGTTGTCTTTCTCCGATTGACTTATTTCGCTAAGCATGATACCCTCTAGTTCCATCCAAGAAGACGTTATTATTATTATAGCTTCGTTTAATCAAAACTCATACATTTCCATTTATTTATTTATTTATTTATTTATTTTTAATCACTTTTCAATCCTTCCTGTGTCTTTAGGGATAATTTTCCCCTCTGCTTAAAGATGGCTCTGTCTGTCGTGGTTTTTTTTTTAAACTTTTTTTTAAAGATTTTATTTATTTATTTGACAGACAAAGATCACAAGTAGGCAGAGAGGAAGGCAGAGAGAGGGAGAAGCAGGGTCCCTGCTGCGCAGAGAGCCCGATGTGGGGCTCGATCCTAGGACCCTGGGATCATGACTTGAGCCGAAGGCAGAGGCTTTAACCCACAGAGCCACCCAGGCGCCCCTCTGTCTGTGATTTTTTTTTTTTTTTCACATACATGCTGGTGTCTGTCCTGTCAGTATTTGTTTATGTGAAAATACCTTCTTCAGCCCTTCCTTTCACAGCATGGCTTTACGGAGTGTGTTCTCATAGGCCGGTTGTTAACGCTTCTGTCATTTCTGAGGTGTTGTCCTGTTGTCTTCTGGTCACTGCCATTTCTGTTAAGACATCACCTGCCGACCTGATTCCTCCTCGTCTGGAAGTGGGTCCCTTCGAGATTTTCTTCCTGTGGGGGCACCTGGGGGGCTCAGTCAGTTAGATGTCTGCCTTCTGCTCAGGTCATGATCTCCAGGTGCTGGGATCAAGCCCCATGTCAGGGTCCTTGCTCAGCAGGGAGTCTGCTTCTCTTTCTGCCTGCTGCTCCCCCGGCTCGTGCTCTCTCTCGCTCTCTCTCTCAAATGCTTAAAAAACAAAAAAAATTTCTTCCTGTGTTTATTTTTCAGCAGTTTTATTATAACGTTCCTAAAGACTTATTTCTTATAATTTCTCCTGCTTAGGGCTGATAGAGATTTATTTATTTGTAATTCAATGACTTTCATAAGTTTTGGAAAATTGTAGACACTCATTTTTCGAATTCTGCCTCGCCTCTTCTTTGCGCCCTTTCCTTGAGGGACCTCAGTTACGGTTAGACCTTTACTATTAGACCTTTTCCCTAGATCCTCTGTATCAGCTTGTCATATGCTGCTGCGTAACAAGTTTCACCAAAATGTAGCTGTGGTTTGTTCATCATTTCGTGGTTTCTGTGGGTCAGCTTGTGGGTCTGGGGATGGCTTGGCTGGGTGGTCCTGGGCAGGCTCCTTCACAGGGTGGCCCTTGGCACCCCTGCTGGGCCCACGTTCCCTGGGAGCCTGGAGGGTTGTCTGTCGAGCTCGCTCACGTAGCAGTGGGCAGGTCTCAGGACTACGGTGCAGCTGCTCTCTGCGTGGGCACCCCCATAGGCTGGGTGAGGGATTGCTTCTCCCACCGTGAGGGATGTGTGAGGGAGGGTGTACTCCCGGAGAAGCTGCAGTACCTTCTGTAACCCAGTCTCAGATGTGACACACTATCTGTCCTGCAAATTTTGCTGCCACCCGGACCAGCCCTGGTCCAGCATGGGAGGGGCTGCTCGGGGGTGCTGGTGTCAGGACGGGGACCCCTTGGGGCCGTCTCGAAGGTCTACCTAAAGTTCTTACCTTCTCTTGGATAGCTTCTGCCCTTTTGACTCTCCAGGCTTCGCTCTAAGTTATTTTTTTTGAAGGGGGGGCTTTGTCTTTTATGCACATATACCTGGTTAATTTTATTGTGTACCACACATTGCATTTGCAGAGTTGTTTGTAGAAATCATCTGAAGCTAAGGATGGTATCGTTTCCCCCCAGAGGCGGACACTGGCTCCCACTAGGTGCCTGGAGGCATCGGCGGCTTAGGTCCCGTCAGCGCCATTCCAGGGACTGGCACGCATCCCGGATGTTTTAGGGTCCTTGGAGGAGCTTGTCTGTGTGTGGTTCCTCCCTGCACCCAGGGCGCAGCCCTTTGGGGTCTGCTCTCTAGGAAGAGGTGTGCTCCCCCGAACTCATTGCCAGTCACTTCAGCCTCAGGAGCAGTCCTGGGCCCCCAGCCTCCCTGGCTGGATGTGGCCGCCTCCCTGGGCCTCTCCCCATCCTGCCTCCCGCCTCCTAAGTCCTCATTGTCTTCTCAGAAGCCTCTCTGGAGGCGTTTTTCACATTTGGTCCTGACGTTACCGTTCTTGCCAGGAAGGGGGTCAGAGCCATGCAATTTTCCCTCACCAGAAGCCACCCCCGGGATGTGTAGGATCGTAAGAGCTGAAATGGATCTGAGCGTCTCGCGGCCGTGCGAGGCTGACGATGGCTTCAGCTGTCCACCCCCGCTGTGGGCACGGAACACGACAGAGCTGAAGGGGCCTGCGTGGATTCTGGGCTTTCTCTCTGAACGTGATTTCGGTTGTGGGCATTGCAGCTTGATCAACTTTGGCAGCTCGACAGCTTGTGCTATGAACGGTAGGTACATCCTCCCTTACGCCGCCGTGGCTTGGTCTCTCCTTGTGCCTTTCACTGGCTCCCCGCGATTGCCCCGCTCTGTCCCTCTCCCGTCCCTGCACTGCCGCCAGGCCACTGTCCTCAGAGCTTGGCGCTGGCGAGGGCCGCTGGGTCGGCACAAGTGTGGGCGCCTACCGGGCAGTGATGGAATGAGTGCTGGTAGCTGAGGTGGGGACCCCACGAAGAAGGTCGGGTTTGAGGAGCTCATGACAAGGTCGGGTGTCAGCAGGAAGACGTCCGAGCTAGGCCGTCTAGGAGGCGTGTGCGCACTCACGGGGCTGGGACTGGGGCCGGGCTGCAGATGTGGCTGTGTGGACACCCTCAGCGAGCAGAAGACGGGGGCCAGAGTAACCACTGGGCTCACGTGGGGGCAGCCCGTGTAGAGCCCGACAGATGGAAGGCTGGTGTTGCAGCCCCGCGGGGCGTCTCCAGGACCCTTGGTGTGAGCGCAGTGCGAGCGGCCAGGAGATAGGACCTGGGACCTGGGAAGGTGTGGGAGGGACGTCAGGGACTATGAGTAGTGGACACAGGAGAGGGTGGGTGGCGAGCTCAGAGAAGAGGTCAAAGGTAGGGCCGTGGGGCTGGGATCATGTGGAAACCTGACAGGCGGGTTTTCCAAAGACCACGCATACCCCAGGCCTGAGGTCACATGCCCAGGTGCGGTTCCCCACCCCCTCCTGCCAACACAACCACCCCTTCCCAGTGCTCCCCTGCTCCCGGGTCCCACCTACCTCCCTCAGGTGAGAGCTGATGCTGAGGCCCCTGGCAGAGGCATCCCCAGAGGTGATGGGCTCTTCCCCGGTCAGCATTTTGAAGATGGACGTTTTCCCAGCTCCGTTGCTGCTTAGAAGCCCAAAGCACTCCCCTGCTCGAACCGCGAAGGAGATCTTGTTCACAGCCAGCAGGGGCACCTTCTGCTCGTAGACCTGAGGTACCCGAGACAGAAGGCATGCGGTGAGGAGCCGCCCTGCTCCGGTCACACCATCCTGGATCAGGTGCCGGCTGCCCTCGGGGCCCAGGCCCTCGGAGGGGCCTGGCTTCCTTCCCCTCCTGGCAGGGTTGCGGGGTTTGCCCTCCTCCTTCTGTCCCTGCAAATGGAAAGCCTGGTTCTCCGGGATAAGCCTCTTCCCTTCAGTCCTTCAAGCAAACAAAACCCCTTGATGGGGCCTGGGATGTTGGCTGGTTTGAACCGCCAGTGGCTCTGGGGAAACAAAGAGTAAGAACTTAACAGACTGGGGGGAATGCTGCAAAGCTCCCAGATGTTCGAAGGGTCTCTGTGAACTCCTGGCTGGAGCTCTGCGGCTGACTGACCAGGCCTGGCTGGAGCTCTAGGGGTGCCCCCACCCCTCACCAGGAGATCCCCCGGAAACTGCCTTCTAGATCCCAGAGAGGGCCAGCCGGTCGTGTCTGTCCCTGAGGCTTCCTGCCTCTGGGGGCTCGTGGCTCCGGCCCTCCTGCCTTACAGGCCCCCCCCCGCGCTGGACGACTCAGGCCCTAACTCCTGCTTCGGGCACTTTTGGGGGCAAACCACCCTGCCAGTGTGCCGATGTGTCTCCATGAGTCCCCTCCGGCGGTGCCTGGAGCCCCCTGGTGGCTGCTTTCTTCCGAAACGCCCACGGAGGAATGGTCTTTGCTTTTTGAGGCGCATCTGTGACTCTACCTTTGTCACTTCTCTAAGAACCAGTGGGTTTTCCGCACGCAGCTTTTCCAAATATGTCTCCACCATCTTTGCCTCCTGTTCCATGTCTTGGTCTACAGGCAAGGACGCTGCCTCGTGCATGGTCACCTGCTTTCCGGGGACCAGGGTAGGCAGTGTGAGTCCCTGCTGGTGCCAGGGCAGGGGGAGAAGGCAGAGGGAGCGCGGGCCTGGCACACACCACCAGGTCCGGTTGTCAGGGACGACCGGGGTCTGCCAGACCCGGAAACATCACGTGGTGTTGGCTTTTGAGGAAAATTAAAAGACTTGAAGCCTGGGGATATCGGGGCAAAACCAGTGAATCTTCTCCAGAATTTCCTTGGGGGGCTTTCGCCTCTGGACCATATTCAGACCGAGAACTGACAGACAGACCCTTCTCCTTCCAGGCTCCTGGCTGACCGGGTGCAGGCCAGGAGGAAGAGGTGTTCTGAAAAGGTGACTGGTCTTAGAAAATCCAGGGTCTTATCCTACTCAGCAGACCAGAGCCACAGGGGCCAAGCCAGTCCTCTAGGTCCCTATCCCTCCAGGTCCTCGGGGAGGCACGGGCCGTCATCCCTCTATCCTGGGGTGGATGAGACGGTCTCCAGGCTCTCTCCGATGCTGACAGTCATGGCCACTCCCAGCCACGGACTCTGGAGCCAGCCCATGGACCCAGGCTTCCCAAGTTACACACTGACCCACTCACCAGTAGTCGCTTCCTGTTGAAGTCAGGAAACCTGGCTTTCAGCCCCCACAAGACGTTGGTTTCAACGAGGAAGAGCAGGACAAGGTACACAAAGCCCATGATGGCCATGGCCGTCTGGTACTTCCCCATCCCAAGAGGCTCCCAGGCGTAGATGCTCTCCTGGACCGTGTATCCCTCTGCTAACAGGGAAGAAGCTCAGGTTACCGAACTCAGGCTGGTGTCCCAGCCTTTCCTCCTGTAGCAAATGCCACTGAAACCGCACAGGAACGTCATCGGCGCTCTTACCACGTCCCTGCAGGTGGCAAACATGAGCAGTGCTCTGTTTCTCTTGCTACAGCCCACGTTCGGTGCAAATAATGCTGGGAAGTAAGAGACCTCGCCCAGTCCTGTGGCAGTGGCTTGAAATATAAGACTTCTGTATGTTGGGTTCTTCGATCAGTTGTCAGTCACCTGTCGCTTTGGCTGACCTGTCCCATCGAAACATCCAGAAGCCTCCAGTCCCATCTCTGTAATCTCATCTGCCTTCACGTTTTCCCTTTAGATATGTGTATTTTAGAATTATACCATAAATACTCCCTCATCGGAAAGAAGGGACATGCGTGAGGGCCAACGGAAAGGTACCCCTCCCCTGCTCCAAATTATTGTCAGGATTTGGGTGTAACCCTTCTCTCTGTTCCAGACACGAGCTTTTAAGATATGAACGGAATGATGCTATGCATTTTTTCCTCCAGCACACCAGTCTCATTTAATAATCTATGATGGACAGGGCTCTCCAGGACCTACAGATTGGAATAATGAAGGTCTCTGGCAAAGGTAAAGACACAGACAATTCCAGAAGCTAGTATTCTTGTCAGGTGGGTTTGTAACTCCACTTGCGGTTTTCTCCACGGCTAAAGAAACTAATACACGAAAACAATTATTGGTCTCCATTTCCGGATGCACAAAACACGATGATTGAAGGGGAGTGGGGACAAGACCATATGGGAGCAGTTTCTATGTTACTGGAGTCAGGCTGATATAAATTCCAATCAAAATGTGATAACGTTAGGGTGTTAATGTAATCCCCATGGTAACCACAAAGATAGTAACTGCAGAGTGTCCAGAAAAGGAAATGAGACAGGAATTAGGAGGTTTCCTGTGAGGTCCCTAGAGCCGTGGAAGTCACAGACACCAAGGGAAATGGTGGGTGCCGGGGGCAGGGGGTGGGGGGGTTGGTGTCTCACAGGGACAGTTTCGGTTTTGCAAGATGAAAAAAATTCTGGAGATGGTGGCACAACAGTGTGATTGTCCTTAACGCCACTGACCTGTACCCTCAAAAATGGTTAAAATGGTAAACTTCATATACATTTTACCACAATTTTAAAAATGAGTACTTTAGGGGTGCCTGGGTGGCTCCCTTGGTTGGGTATCCGACTTCTGGTTTCAGCTCAGGTCGTGATCTTGGGGTTGTCGGATCAGGCCCCATGTTGGGCTCTGTGCTCAGTGTGGAGTCGCCTTGAGGTTCTCTCCCTCTGCCCCTCCCTCTGCTTGTTCTCTTTCTTTGCAAAAAAAAAAAAAAATGTTTAAAAGGTGTTGGAGAGAATGTGGACAAATTGGAACCCTTGTCCATCTCAGGCAAAACATGAAACGGTGCACCTGCTGTGGAAGACAGTCTGGTTGGTTCCTCGAAAAGCTAATCACAGATTCATTCCTAAGTAAGGTATGTAGTCGAGACAACTGAAAACACGTTCCCACGAGAGCTTGTACATCGGTCTCACGGCGGCATCATTCCCAGTCGCCAACAGGTGGAAATAACCCGCGTGTCCCTCACGCCATGAACTGATAAACCGTGGTCCAACCACACAATGGACTATGATTCCGCCACGAAACGGGAATGAGACTCGGACACCAGCTCCTACATGGGTGAACCTTGAAGCCAGAGCAGGCAGACACGTAGAACCAGAACAGGCAAGTGCACAGGCAAGGTGAGCAGGCTCAGTGACAGCCAGGAGCTGGGGGAGGGGCGATGGGGGAAAGACTGGAGGAATCGCACTTCTTGTTGGGGGCCATGGAAATGTTGTGGAACTGGATGGTGGCCCTGCTCATACAACCTTGGGAACATACCCAAGCCCACCGAGCTGTGTCCTGCCAAAGGGAGAATTTCCGTGTGCAATACTCACAAACTTGGTTACACTCCCGCTGGTCCAGGTTCCTGGCTTTGCATAGCTCCTGGATTCCGTAGTTGTAGCGTAAGTTGAAGAGGGCCATTCCCAGGCAGTGGCCTGGCAGCAATAGTAACGTGCGGTCCAAGGAGTCCAGCAATGTCACGTAGCCCAGGTCTGTGAAGGGGATAGAAAGGACTTGCTCACTTTCAGGCAGGAAAGGGCACAGCCCCTGGCACACGTCACTCTCCTGGTCCCCGGACCAGAGACTTCATTCACCCTCCATGCCCAAAGCAAACACAGTTTCCTTTGGGCTGTGCTTCCCGAGCCTGTCATTTTACTTCTGTCCCGATCGCTTGTGCCGATGAATCCCAAAGAGCTGTGTTTGGGAAAACCAGCAAGAGCGTGGCTGCCCCATGGGATGTCTGCGGAAGAGGTGAGCTGAGGTGGGAGGGAGATGAGGTGTCCCAGGGAGCGGGGCCCAGACAGCAGGGTCTGGAGGGCCAGCTGTGGGGTCGACTGAGCGCCCTCCCCAGATGGGAGCTAAGAAGGACACAGTCCCCGCCTAGATCATCTGTGGAGACAAAGCCGTCATTTGCAAATGCTCTGCTTCACCATGGACCTGGAAAAGCCAGGAGAATCAGCCAAGTCCTATGAGACACAAAAGCAAGGCAGTAAATCGGCTGGTTATGAACCACATATGCAGAAGCTGGGGCCTCTTAGAGGTTAAGAGAAGCCAATTTTCAGATTCGTGTCATATTGCAAAGAGAGGAAATGCCAAACAAGGTTGTTGGGCAAGAAATTGAGGCCATGTGTATTTAAAATATTTTAAACGTTTATTTACAACCAATACACACAAGTGTTTTTTGGAAGAAGAACTTCTGCTCATCAGCCGCTCATTAGAGGATAAATTCGCAGTGCGCCGCACGGGGCCCCAGGCCGGTGACAGGACCGCATCCCCGAGCCCCCCACCCCCTGCACCGGCTGCTCCCTGCCATCCCTCCACACCCAGCACATCCTCCCCAGTGGGAAGGAGGAACTGAGGGGCAGGGACAGAAGCTCTAATTTTGGACTTGGTGACAATTCACACAACAGCCCCACCCCCATGGGTAACTCAGGGGAGGAGCCCACGGGCTCAGGACTTACAGATCCCAAGGGGAGAAGCTGAACCAGTGACACGAAGGGGGCTCTACCCTCCAGACCTGGGATTAGAGCAGTACAGCTTCTGGGTGCCGACCTGTGAAATTCTTGCCAGCGGGGCCACTCCTCATGGGGTTGACCTTGGGACATGAGGTCTCCCAACCGACATTTTCTGGGCCAGGACTCCAAAGCAGCCGCAGAGACAGGGCCCACCCAGTCAAGGGGCGTGAGCTGTGGTGCTCCATACGCTCGCTGCAATCCGGGCCCCGAGGCCCAGGGGGCCATGGCTCTGTGACAAGGCCTTGAGCTGCACCTGAGACCATAACGCAGCAGAACAGCTAGGAAGGTGTCAGACAGGACCGGGAGGGAAGCCCAGAGGCTCATGCCCTCCTTGTCTGCTCTACTTAGAATTCTAACTTTGGAAATCTCGCCTGGAAGCTGAGGTGGCGGGGCCGGGGGTCCGGGGGTAACTGGCAGGACCGCAGCCTTGCCCCTCCTGCACGGCCTCCAGAGAAAGGCTTAACCACTAAACAACGTTCCTGAGCCCAGTCGGAACCAACAGTCCACCCGGCGGTGTCTCTGGGCCCTAGGCGGGAAGTGGTTAGACTCTGAGAGCCGACACCTGCTTCTCCCCAGCTCACCCTAACCAGAATCAGAGATGTCCACGAGCAACCTTCTCACCGAAGAAGCGGATCTTCACAGCTCCCACTCATCCTCCTTCGTTCTCTCTGGCTCCTACCCCAAAGCCGCTCACAGGCCGGGGCAAGGTCACAAACCCTCGAATCTCGGAATCTCACCCTCCACCGGATGGTGGCTGTTTGCCGCCGCACCCCGCTGTCAGACCTGCTCCCTCCGGGTCCTGTGCCTTCTTTGTCTCTGTTCCTTCACTTTGCTGGGCCATGTCTCTCCGTTGACTTTCGGAGAGGGCGACATGGTGGGTCGCGTTTCCCTTGGCGTGGCTCGACTTGCCCTCATCCTGCCCTTCCACTTGGCTGACCGGTGAACGGTGTCTAGAACTTGTCCTCTGGGAAGCATCTGGGCTTAGGTCTGGACCCCTCTCTCCCCATCTTGGGACGTCTGACAGATCCCTCCGGCCTTGAACTTGGTTTGTGACTCTGGGAGATATTGGTGGTGATTTCCTCAAGTCCACTTTCCGTTTGCGGCATGCTTCTCAGGGGACGGGGCTGCAGCTCCTGGACCCTCCCCCCCGCACCTGTCCCCGCCTTCCCTGCTTCCTCCTGTCTTTGGCTCTGCCTTCCGGGATGTGGGGAGGTCGACAGGCTTCATCGACCACCCCTTCTGCTAGGTGTTTGAGTCAGCAGCCAGCTCTTTCTTGCACTCAAGATTGTTTGCTTTTCTTTTCCCCCTCATAGAATTCTACGGTTTAACAGATGCCATGTTTTCCGAAGCGGTGGCTCTGTGTCCCGCATTTCCCCGTGTTGCATTTTGGGCAGTCTGCTTTGCTCTCTGCCTCTCCTGTATCTGCCGTCCTCAAGTGCTTGGAGACTCTGCCTGTCTAGCCACAGAAACAGAAGAGGCCCCGAGAGGCGATCGCCGGCCTTGTGCACAGGGGCGGGTGACATTTCAGGCAGGGGACCCGGCAGAATGTGTAGGTCTTGTGTGCGAGCAAGTTCCGGCCACCCAGAGGAGGACTGTCTGCCTTCCGGAGCCTGCCTGTGTGTTGTGCGCTTCCCGGTGGAGACGTGGGGACAGGAACAGGCCCAGACTGCCAGCAGCCCCTCCTCCCCTCCCCCGCTTCTGGCTCCCAAGCCTCCCCAGGGTTCTGCGGTGCTCAGTAGGTCCTTGCTCCACCATTGCCCCCAAAGCACCCTTCGGATGCTTCTTTATCATGAATTCATACACCTTTATTTCCTTTCCTATTCCTTTAGTGGCATCTCAGGAAAAGGAGAGTTCAGATGTGGCTTTACATCCCCGGACTCTGCTGCCATGGCGACTGCCTCCGAATGAGGCCCCTGGGGCGCGTGTACAGAGGCCAAAGTGTCCTAATGGCGTCCTTCCTCAGGAGGTGGGGGTGGGGTGCACACAGGAAGCAGTGAGCTTCGTGCCCTGTCCCAGCCTCCTTTCCCCGTGACTTTTAAGGGGGAGGGGGCCTCCTGCGTGGCAGGAGAAGGATCTTGGTCTTCGTTGTTGTGCAGGAGGGGAGAGAAGAAAGGGCATGGGGCAAGGTAAGAAGAAATGGGTCCCAGGAAGGTGGAGGGATCCAGAGAGAAGGTCCAGAGATCCAGGCACCCTGGCTTGATCATTCTTTCTGAGAGCTCTGCCCCCATCAGGGCCCTTCAGTGTCCTTGGGCTTGCAGGTGCTTATCTCCCTAGGGGGAGTTTGGGCAGCTTGGGGGAGGAGGAAGGGAGGAAACCTCGGGTTCTTTCCGGAGACGAGGGCAGCACTGCTGAGGGGATTTCGTGCCCTGCCCACGCTGGGACCGCCTGGGGTGCGTCTTGGCACGCAGACCCGTGAACCTCGGGCGCACACCGTGGCTGAGGACAGCGGGGTTAGGGTTCCCTTAGGACATGCCTTTGCTAACCCCCTTCCTCTGTCTGCCATGTGCTTTTTGTTTTGTTCCCATCATAAAGTCAAAATCCTGCTGCTTTTTTGATCTGCTCAGATGAAAACAGTCCCACCTCCAACACTCCACCGGTGGCGTGCAGGAGAACTCGGCAGTGTGCGGCACAATGCAGACCGCCACCAGGGAGACGTGCTCCAGCACGGTGGCCGAGGGCACAGGCACGGCCGGTCCTCCAAGAGACAGAACGGCTCCTGAGACAAAGGGAGGGAGCTGTTCACATACTCTCAGGTGGAGACAACAAAAGCCCAAGGGCCCGTTGAAAGGAGGGCGACGGCATCCAAGTGCCTGGAGAAGAGGACCACAGAGGGAGAAACGAGTGTGTATCCAGCCCGACGCAGAGAGAGACGCAGCCAGACATGACGACATCTAAGCCCGGGTGCACAGTGTGGATGGCCGCTTGCTCCCGGGGGCTCCCCCGCGAACCACACACTCACCGAACGGCCCTCTCCCAGCCTCGGCTTATTGATTGACTTACTACCTTCCTTTAAAATGGAGGAATAACTCATTTTGACATCGTTTATGCCCATGTAACCCGCACTTCGTTCAAGACAGAGAGTGTGTCTAGGAGGTTCCCTGGGGTCTCTGTTTCAGCAGGCCCTGTCTCCCAAACCCGAGGCCACCGGTCTCCTGACTCTGTCACCCAGATCCGTCCTATCGGCGGGGCCCTATGTCCATTCACGCGGCTGCGTGTGTGCGCTGTGGTTTGTTCCCTGCCGGCCGCTGAGCATAACGCACCGGGTGATTGTAGCCACGTCTCTCCGCTCCCCTGGAGATGTGTGCTGGGGACAGGGTTTGGGGCTCTTCAGGGACCACTGCTGAGAACAGCCTAACGTTTGGGGGTGCACCGTCTGTGACCGTGAGCGGAAGAATGAAAGGTATGTGTCAATGGCCGGTCCTCACCTTTTTGGCTTGTGACCCAGACGAGAATGTTGGGGCAGATGCTCAGGAAGGTGAGTGTGATGAAGAGCTTGACGAAGGCACTGCCTTCATAGTGCAAGCAGAAGCTTGCCAGGTAGACGAAGGGGGTGCTGGCCCAGCTGTAGAGCGTGAGCGCCGAGAGAACGGCCGGGATGTTGCCCTCGTGCGTGAAAGCTTCTTCCTTGTAGTACAGAAACACCACCTCGGGGGAGAGGGGAGAATTTGGAAGAGTCTCTAAGAGTTGATGCTAAGGGTTAGAGAAAGGCTACGATGATCCCAACTTTAAGAGTAAGTTTGCTGCCCAGGTGGCCCCTGCCCTGCGCGTCCTCCTCTCTGACCGCTCAGGCGAGGAGCTCTGCCCCGGCATGTCCCCACCGTGCGGTCAGGAGTTCAACAGCAGTTACAGAACACAGGCGGAGCGAAGGCGGACATGGCCGTCCCACCCAGAGTGTCACCATCCAGGGGTTGCCCCGTTGGCGCACGGTGAGCTGTTTCCGGGCTCTGAGCACGGGTCCCCAGCGTGCTGCCTCTTACTGGCGTGTGCACTTGTGGGCTTGGCACACATTGGAGACCCTGGAGCCGGCCCCTCGGCTTCTAACGGTGTCGGGACCTTTTCCCAAGAGTCAGTGACGGAATCACGTCCTGGGTGAGCTGTTGGTCCCTGGCGGGGTCCCCACAACAAGCCCACCGTGATGTGCAGGGCGGGGTCCCAGCACCACGCAGCCCTCACCAGCAGCAGCAGGCTGGGGACAAAGGAGGTGACACGGTCCCACAGCAGCGCAGAGAGCCAGAAAGTGGCCACGTAAAGGCCACTGGTGAACTGGATGTGTTTGGCCTTCGTGGACCGCTCTTTCACTGTCAGGATGGAGAAGGAGCTGGACAAGAACGCTATTCCGAAAAGCAAGTTGGTGATGAGGAAGTGTGCCTTCGGGCCCCTGTGGCAGGACATGGGTGGGGGCAGACAGGGAGAGGCGGTCTGAGCAGAGCTGCGCACAGGAGCCATCCTCCACGGCGACAAGTTGTTGTTACAACAAGAAGCAAACGCGAAGTGACAGGTGGTCAAGGGGGCCCCGCCGTGGACATGGTCGGGGAGGCTTTGCTGGGGGGAGGGCAGTGGCACATACTGGTACAAGATATCCTCCGAGGCCTCCAGGGCCGTCCGGGGCTGAGGGTGGCTGATGGCTGTGATGGAGGCTCTGGCCCCGGAGAGCAGCTTGAAGAGAACGCTGTCCACAAGTGCCAGTGCCACGGCGGGCGAGTGGTACGCCTGGTCGTTGAATAGCGCTATCACCATGGTGTGGTTCCCTGAGTCCTCAAAGGAAGCCGCCACGACGTATTTGTAATCAAAGACCTCTGGCTCCTCCTCTGCCTTTCGCAGGAGGAGGTCCTCCACGGAGCCTGCGAGAGAGCAGAGTGTCCCAGAGCTACGCACCTCATCCCTGGGACCCCGTGGCTCCTCCGGCTGCGCCCTCCCTTCCGGGGACCCCTGTGCCTGCGGGACCACCCCCTGCCCGGGCCTCACAACTCTGGGGCCACTCTAAAGCCTCTTTCGTTGATGGAAGCCGCAGGAAAAACGCAGAAAAGTCTAGTCATCTTTACAGCTGTCCCTCCCCTGCCCTCCCCAGGGCCTTGACGCAGCCCTGGGCCCCTCTCGTGTGCGTGGAAGGCCACGCGTGGTCGCACTGCACGTCCCCGGACCACCGCTGGTGGCCCTCAGTGCCCACACGGCCTGCCGCGCTCAGCCATCGCCCAAACCCAGCTCCTGTCCTCAGGCTCTTTCTGCCCCTGGGCACCCACCATTCCCTGTGCTTACAAACACTCTCCTTGTGGTTTGGAATGTTCTGCAGTTCTCGTCCCCTTCTGCTGGTCAGCTCAGGCTCACAGCTCAGGCTCTGACCAGGGAGCCAGTCAGCCCCTCTCCGAGGCGGAGCTATGTCCCCGCCGTCCGGCAGCGCTGCCATCATCCCAACTGTCGCTCCCTTCCTCACTTCCCCTCCAACCTCTTGGCCGGGGCGCACTCCAGCTGGTAGCAGCACCCTTCTTCACTGTGCTCTCAGCACAAGGCGCCACCTAAACACACGACCCATCCAGAACTCCCTGGAACTTGGGGGTCTTCGGTGCCAGAAGGGACCGCCATCCCAGCCACAGCGGTAACCGTGCTGCTGGCAGGACGCCCCCTCGGTCGGCCCTCACTCGCGGAGGAGGCGAGGTTCCTCCTTCTCCCCATGTGCTGCACCACGTTCTGCCTTTGATCTCTTTACTTGATTGAAAAAAGCGAATACTTTACGATTTTACTTCTAGTCCAAGTAACTCATGCTGTAGAACTTTTAAAAGCAAATAATTATGCAAGACTTGCACGGACAAAGGGCGATGCCCTGGCCTGCCCTGCATCCCCAGTACCTGGTCACAGGGGGCACCCCTCCAGAGGGCTAAATCGCACATTTACCTACTGACCCCCGTCATGGAGACACGGACCTTCCTCTCTTACCCACTGCCCCTGCAGGCTCCCCGCCCCTGCCCTCCCCTAGAGCCCAGCATAAGGTTGGTTAAATCGGTTCACAGCTGAACCAAGTGGTGTGTTCTGTTTCCTTTTTTGTGCAACCTCCCTGCCCGAGTTAACGTCCTGCCTTTTCTTTCTTTTAGGGTTATTTATTTTTAGAGACAGAGAGAGGGGGCGTGCGCACGGGAGCAGGGAGAGGGACAGAGGGAGAAGGAGAATCGCCGGCAGACTACACACCCAGAGGCCCCATCTCACGACCCTGAGATGACGACCAGAGCCGAAATCAAGAGTCAGAGGCACGACCTGAGCTACCCAGGCGCCCCATGACCTTCCTTCTCACATTTGTCACCAACCCCCCTTGACAGACGTGTAAATCTCTTAGGGCTTGTCCAACATATCAGATAACTTATCAACTTCCTTTTTGGACATGCCGCAGTCCCCAGAAAGACACGACCTGGTTTCATCCCTGGGGATCCTCCCCTTCCTGTAATCTAGGGCTTTAAGGATGTTTTTCTGAGCCTTCTGGCTGTTTGTCTGACTTCAGGGAGCACTGCGTGGCCCCCAAGGATGGGGCATCCCCACAGGGAGCAGCAAGCCTGTGCACGCCCCGTCCCTGGAGCCTCGGACTTACCCAGGGTCTCCAGAGGGAGCTGCTCCTCAGCCTTAAGCATGTTTGTAAAATATTCCGAAAGCCGAGGACCCAGCCTGGAATTGGGAGAAATATAGAAGGGGACGGTGGTCCAACTGTATGTTTTTAGGGTCAGTTCCAGTGGGACCTCATCCATGCGTGTATCCAAGCTGAGGAAGGCCAGGCTGAAGACAGTGGTCGCCAGCGGCGCCAGGACCTGCATGGTTACCATCAACATCCAGTTGTGCCAAGAGTACGACGTGACCCTTTTCAGGAACATGGCGTAGAACTGCTGGCAGATGAGGCGGGCCTGCAATGGCAGTGGGGCACCCGTGAGCGCGGCCGTGGAGAGGAGACACCGGAGGCCTGTGCATCCCCCAGCACCCCCCCAGCTGCCCTCTCTCACGCTGGGCCCGACATCTTGGGGATGTTCAGAACTTGCTTCAAATAAAAACTCTTTGACTTAGTGATCTGATGGACATTCGATGGCAGAAAAGGAAGTCATAGGTTGGAAAGATCTGGAAAAGTAGCCTGAACAGATAGCAAATGTAAGTATGGCGCCATTTTTATTATTATTATTTTTTTAATCTACCAGATTATCAGAAATTTCCAGTTGGTGAGGATGTGGGGAAAATGCCACTGCTGGAGTTCTAATTTGGTACGACTTTCTTAGAAAACAAATTAGCTTTAATTTAATGTTCATATAGTCTTTTAACTTAGAAATCCCACTTCTGGTGACGCATAGCGCGGGTACCCATGCACGTGGTCCCTGTGGCCCGGACGGTAACTGTGAAGCGTGTGGTCACGCGCGCTGAGCATCAAGACAGTAGCTGGGCCTGGCGGGGGAGAGGCTGGGGGTCAGCACCGTGGGCTCCCACCCCGCCTCTCGCTGGTGCTGCAGGAGCCAAGGCAGGGGGAGGGGCCGCCACTCGTCCACCTAGAGACTTTGCGGGAAGAAGCTTGGTGGTCAGGTCTGAGTCAGGGATTCCTACGTTCCTGGCCCCAAACACTGACGAATTCCTGAAAGTCTCTACCGAACCCGGAAATTTCCTGCACTGGACACGATGAAGGCCACAGTCACTGGAAGTGTTCCTTTAAAGGCACCGCTCTCCACGTGTCTGAGGTTGTACCCTGAGAAATCCTCCCTGGGAAGTCTCCAGAAGCAAAGCGTGGCCACGCGGAGCCCAGATGAACCTCTTGCTGGAGTCTGGAGAAGAGCCTGGGGGGAGGCTGGCCTCCATGACCCCGAGACCCTTTCCAACTCAGAGGCCCCGCGGATGACGGCGTGTGATTCGAGATTATGAAACAGTGGAATCAATCTCTTCCCTAACCCATGAAAACCAATCTCACCATCTCACAGGTCATACCTTATGGATGGCCAAAGCGAGACCATTTTGTAGATGCACATCCATGTTTTTTTTTTCAACAATAAAAGAACATGGTAGGTTATCCGTGTATTTCATAAGGATGCTTAAAAAAACCTTAAACTCCCGGTGATCTAACACATGATCTATTTCACAGTGAAAGATGAAAAAGGAAGATTAAACATGCTTTTGTGGCCGGCAGACTTTCATTCTTTCCTCTTCTTTGTGAGAAGAAGGGCCAAGACCTTTCCTGTGACCTTTACCGTGACCTTTTCCGATACTTTTCTCCGTTGGGTTAATCCTGGCCACGAAACACTGGGATGTTGCCTTTGAACTAGAGCCGAGAGCCTGGCATTGCTGAAACCTAGCGGGGGCCTGTCTTTCATGCTGGAAATCTGCACATTTTTCCCTCAACCCCTGTGAAAGGTTGACCTGCACTTCCTGACAGAGGAACTGAAGGCGCATCTGCCCTCCTGCGTGCGTGGGACATTCTTGCTCACCCCGTGTTCAGCTGGACTGGCAGGCCCGGCTGCACTGGGAAGGTCTGGGACTGGATGCGTTTAATCCCGCTGACAGACACTCTTTGTTGGAACTGCGTGGAGGAGATCTTGAGGGCCTGGACATCTGTGTTGCTGTCTGACAGTGTGTTAACCCTAAACCAGGCCGAAACAAAGAGAAATGCAAATTCACAAAAACCACAACTCACGTCCGTTTGTTCAGTCTAGAGTCTTAAACAGGCCCCGAGTAAAGCTGAATTAACCAAATATTGAGTTAACAGACCCATGGCACTTCCAAAGAACGGAGGCGCCTTACGCAAGTTAAGGCAAAAATGAAATATCACTTAATATCTATCTTACGAGAAAAATCGTCAGTTATAAACATAGCATTGCTGACCGTTTTGGCTGGGGCGGGTAAACTACAGCCCGGGCCAAACCTAGCCCAAGGCCTTGTTTTCTGTTTGGTTCTGAGCTCAGAATGGGTTTCACATTTTTAAATGGTTACGTGTTAGATGGTCATCAAAGCACCAACATATTCTCCTTGATTATGCCCTGAGTCTACATAGCCTAGAATATTCCTCTCTGGCCAGAAAAAGTTGGCTGAACCCCGCTCAAGGCAAAAAGACGTTTTCATTGCTGGCAACAAACTGTTAAGAAGTCAGGAAAGATATTTTTATTCATAGCCTCTGGGTCAGTTATTCCTCTAATGGGAACTTTTCGCAACAAAACAGCCCAGTACAGTGTGGCTCATTTTCCCTTTTACAGTTCGGTAAAAGACGGTGTGTTTGTTAGTGTCTACGGCGGTGGCACAAATTATCCCCAGATTTAGAGGCTCAAAACACACAGAAGGGGTCTATTGTCTCCCACAGTTCTGTGGGTCAGGAATCCGGGATGGTGGGCGATGGGCCAGGGATGTGGTGGTCTGAAGGCACAGCCGACGCCAGAGGATCCCCTTCCAAGATGACGCCCTCCCATGGCTGGTTTACCCTCTAGCTCTCCTGAGTGGGGTTCCGACAAGAATGTCGGTTCTAATTAACATTAACGATCAGGGTACATGTGAGATAACAAAGGTGAGTGTCAGAAATTCACTCATTCATCCCCGGGGGGAGGGAGTGAGCACCACTCTCGTTGAGTTGGACGCTACTTTTTTTTAATACTGGAAGGATATTTCCTCACGTTTTGTGCTCTTCTTAATGAGATGGCTCCGGATAGGAGACGTTTTCAAACTTCCTTTGCGTTATTCATGTTTTCTCCATGACTTTCTAAGTCTAGACAATCAACTAAACCCTGATTTCCAGTGTGTACCGAGTTCTGTGGTGTAGACGGTCTCACTGTGGTCGACTTCAAACTGTTGACAGATACGCCCGTCACACAGACACGAGTCAGTGTAGACAACCCACGAGCACCGGTAACAGTAGGACACAGCCAGAGCAGGAGGAGGTGAAGTCTGTGTGTTACCGTTTGTGACACTGTGGTCTGTGATAAGAAATAGACATTTGGTCTTCATTCTGGTCCTGGCACTGGGCTCCTCAAACACTTCCAACTTCCCAAGCGGAGACAGCGGTTAAGGTGTGTTTTGTCATGCGAATGATGGGACTTTCAGAAAGCGGCTGAGGATGGGGGCCGGTTGCCTGGGGAACCATCCACTTCATGGCAAAGTTGGAGCTTTCAAGCCCACCTCCCAACCTCCTGGAAGGCGACAGGGGCTGGAGATCGAGTTTAAGCACCAGCAGCCAGCGATGTAATCCATCCACCGTGCGCATGTCCAGAAGCCTCCACAAAAACCCTAGTGGGCAGGACTCCGAGGCTTTCCAGTTGGTGAGCACGTGGAGGTGTGGGGACCGTCGCGTTCTCAGAGCACGTGGACGCTTCAGACCCTTTCCCTGTGTCCGTGTTCATCTGGATCCAGAGGCATATCCTTCATAATGACCTGCTAACTGTGAGAGTGTTTCTCGAGCTCCATGAGCCGTTCTAGCAAATGAATCGGAAAGGGGTTGTGGGGACGTCCGGTGTGTAGCTGGTTGGGTCAGAAGCGCAGGTGACCACCTGACTGGGACTAGGGTCCAGAGTTGGGGGTGGGGGGCAGTCTTGCCGGCCTGACCCCCTCACCTGGGGATCTGACGCCATTCTTCCATGTAGCAAGTGTCAGGATAGAGTTCATTGCTTGGTGGTGTGGGGAAAAAAAAACCAAGACACACCAGAATGGATATCACAATTGTACCCCTGTTTTTACCATGACTTATTTATAAGCATGAGCAATTTAATTTTTAATAATTGCTCTGTTTCACTGGCTCACACAATTCTCGATAATTTAATAACTCGCTCTTGTGAGCCAGTGTGAGCCAACTCCAGCAAACCTCTGGAAGGCTGAGAGAGCTAGCGAGCAGGGCTCCCGACACTTTGGCGCCCTAGCCTAAGAGTGACCCAGTCAGTTCTGCAAACTTGCTGCTTTTACGGGTCAGCCGTGCTTACGGTTAGGGGGCGAGGCTGGAGCGAGCCCCTGGGTCTTGCTCCCACAGACGGTGCGCCCCGGAGGCCCTCTCTGCCTTTTGCTGGGCTCTGCTTCTCCCGTCGACGGTTCCTCCTTGACTTTTCCAGGTGTTGTGCTTGTCCGTTCTTTAGCGTTTCTACACGCAGGGGCTATTAGGGACGATCCCAGGGATTTGCGGGGGCCTCTCGTCAGGACGTCATCTGCCACCGGCGGTGGGGGTGTGGGGAGAGGGGACACCACGGGGCACTTCACCACAGTGTTTTCTTTGATATTTCATGGCGTAAGGTCGTATTTTTACATTTTTCCTCTTCATATGGTATCTGCTAGTAGAATTTCTTTTTTCCTATTTACAAAAATAAGAGTGTCGCGGGGCGCCTGGGTGGCTCAGGGGGTTAAAGCCTCTGCCTTCGGCTCAGGTCATGATCTCAGGGTCCTGGGATCGAGCCCCACATCGGGCTCTCTGCTCTGCGGGGAGACTGCTTCCTCCTCTCTCTCTCTCTGCCTGCCTCTCTGCCTACTTGTGATCTCTCTCTGCCAAATAAATAAATAAATAAATCTTTAAAAAAAAAAAAAAGAGTGTCGCTTATTAAGACTGAATTTCAGGAGGGAGGGAGGGGAGTTTTCTACGGTGGGATCTCTGCGAGCACCATATCGCGCTTTCCTCAGACACCAGAGTGCGAGCTTCTCGGAGGCTTCCGCCCTGCATAGACGGGATCCAGCTCGTCCCTCAAATCTCTGCCTCCTGGTGTCTGCTCTCTGTCGTCCTCCCCCAGTTTTATTGAGATACAAGTGATATATGTGCTTAGAAGTTTTTGGTGTACGTATATACTGTGGACTGGTCCGTCGCTTCATGTAGTTACAATAGCTTTTGCTTGTGAGAGCTTTTTTGATCTGCTCTCTTAAAACCTGTCAAATATACAATAGAGGACCCTCAACTGCAGTCGCCTCGCGGTACGTGACACGCCCAGAACTTACTCGCTGTGGAACTGCAGGTCTGTGCCCTGTGACCCTCTTTGCCTGATCCCCCCCAACTCCCCCCTCACCCCCCACCTCCGGCGACCACACAGCTTTTCTCGGCTTCCAGGAGGTTGTCTGTCTGTGTGATTTTGAGATTCCTCATGGAAGTGAGACCATACAGGACTTATTTTTCTCTGTCTGACTTATTTCATGGTGCACGATGCCCTCAGGGCCCATCTGTGTCAATGCACACAGTAGGATTTTCCTTCTTTTTGATGGTGAATAGTGTTCTGTTGTGGGGGCTGGGGGTGTGCACACGGTGTAGAAACGTTTTACTTTGATACCATCCTACTTGTTTATTTTTGTTTCTGTCGCTTGTGCTAATCTCCTCCCCTAGATGGTGACCTGCACCTAGTGCCTCACTTTTTTTTTAAGTTGTAGCTTTTTTTCTTTTTTGAAGATTTTATTTATTTATTTGAGGGGCGCCTGGGTGACTCAGTGGGTTAAGCCTCTGCCTTCGGCTCAGGTCATGATCTCAGGGTCCTGGGATCGAGCCCCGCATCGGGCTCTCTGCTCAGTGGGGAGCCTGCTTCCTCCTCTCTCTGCCTGTCTCTCTGCCTACCTGTGATTTCTCTGTCAAATAAATAAATAAAATCTTTTTTTAAAAGATTTTATTTATTTATTTGACAGAGAGCAGCGTGAAGAGCGGAGGGGAGAGAGAGAGGGTTGAGCAGACTCTCTGCTGAGCGTGGAGTCTGACTCGGGGTCTATCTCATGATGCCAAGATCATGACCTCAAGCTGAAACCTAGAATTGGACAATTTAGCGACTGAGCCATCCAGGTGCCCCTAGATAATTTTTTTTTTTAAGACACCGAAGATTCGTACACGACAATTAACCCACTGGACCTTTGGTTGTACACAAGACACCGCGCCCAGCCACCGAAGAACGCATGTTGTAAGCTGAGCCACAGACGGGAGCATTTTGAAGGACGGAGGCTATCCGGAGTGTATGCTAGGACCAGAGTGAAATGCGGCTGAAATCAAGTGCATTAACAAGACAAACAAGGCAAGACCAAACAAGAAAACAGTTTTTAAAAAATATCTCCCTGAATTTGGAAATTAAGAAACACAGTTCTAAGCAAGCCACCAGTCAGAGCAGAAAGCACATGGAAAAATAAGCAGAATTCTAACCGAATGGTAAAGAAAATACTACATAGCCAAAAAGCTGAGACGCAGGCAAGTGCAGCTCAGAGGGAAATTTGTATCGCTATGCATCCCCTCCCCAGGAGAGGCCAACCTGCCTCTCAACTTGCAGTGGGCCAGCTGTGCTCAAGCCCCTACTGTGAGATAAGCAAGTGGAGACGTAAAGACAGGAAAATAAGAAGCAGCACTGTCTTTACACATGACGGTTACACACAAAATACTAAGGAAATCCACCCCAAACTGTTTGAATAAGGGAGTTAAAGAATATCTCCAGATGTAGATAATACAAAAATGATTTCTAAATTATCTGCAACAAGTGATTGGAAACGAAATTCAGAAATCCATTTCCAAACTTTCAAAAACTTCGAAACTCAGAGGCCTGCTCAAAAGACTGTGAGTGCCCTTTCCCCTCCCTGCTGTTCCACTAAATGAGGAAAGGAGCTAATGCTTAACCCTACTAATCTCGACCCCTTCCTTATGCATGCCTTCCATAGTTTGGAGCTGAAGGAATCGGGACTTTTTGTGTGATATTAAGAAATCCACAATCTCCTACGGTGCGGGCTTGTGCTCCTTCAAGCCCGGTGTCCAGGCCAACAACGTGCCTTTAAGAAACCTGTGGGCACGCGGGATGCCCCAGAGAGGCCGCATCATGGACCACCATGGACAGCACGGTGGGTGAGAGTGTGAGCTGCGCACTGTTGGGGGCTGCGTTTGAGGCCAGTGTCTGCCCCTTACGGGTTGTGTGACTCTGGGCTGGTTCTTTCATCTCGCCCCTCTCTCCTCATCGGGGTGACAGACACGACCTCGCGCCCGGAGGGAGCTAAATGCAAGGACCGTGGCACAGCAGCCCGCCTGTGCTGTGAGTTCAGTGGTCAGACCCTCACAGGGCGCGCTGCCTTGCCCTTCAGTCTCCTGGGACTGAAATCATGCCCATCGATGCGGCTGTCTTGCAGGAAGGTTTACCTCTCGGGAAATGCCTTGTTCTCACCCCAGCCAAGAGGCAGACCCTTTCCCTCACCCTGCGAGCGCTCTCCCACCCCCTTCAAGTGATTCCTCTCCCGTCCACACACAACCAGCGTCCGGACTCCTACTGTCAGAGGTGCCTTGTATCTCTGTATCTCATTTCATCTGGGCGACATGTTTCTGAGGTTCAACAACACCAGTGCAGGCCTTAATAGTTTCTTTTCATTCATCGTGGAGGGGTGTTCAATAAAAGCAGTATACTACAGTTTGATCGTTGGTTCCCCTGTTGGTTGACTTTAGACAGAAGGGATAGGGTTTGGGTCAGAGGGGGTTGGGCAGGCTTTGGGCGGCTTCTCCAGGAGCCCTGAGTCACCATGAAGCCGCCATGCCCTGGAGGACTTGGGAGATGCTCTGATCAGGGGTTCTGGCTGGGCTCAGCCTTCCAGAAATCCCACCGAGACCCCAGACCTAGGGGCCAAAGCCATTCTGGAATTCCAGGTAAGTCCATTCAGTGGCTATTTTGCTAAAAACTTTGTGTTTATGTCCACATTCTAGATGTTGGTATTGGTATCAGAGTGTGGTGCTCCCTTCTGTATTTTCTGAAAGATTGGGGGAGATTTATTGGCCTAGCAACTGATGGGACCTGCAAGTCTCTTTTTGGTAATGTTTGTCATCGCAAATTCGATTTTGCAGTAGATGCGTGGTTCTTAGATTTTCCTCTTTTACTTTGTGTCCGTTTGAGTAGGTTGTGTTTTTCAAGGAATCAGCCCATTCTACAGTGTACAGTGTATTTGTGGTATTTTCTCATGAAGTTGTCGTAAGTCTGTGCTTGGGCTGAGAAATGGTCCACTCATTCCTGATGCTGGTTCTTGTATTTCTTCTTTTCTTTAATGGCATTGGCAGGGGCTCATCACTGTTATTAATATTTGTAATAAACAACGTCTGGCTATTTTAGTCTTCTCAATTTTTGTTATTGTTGTTTCTAATTCCGTCATTTGCTCTCTTCAAATTTATTATTTCTCTTCTTCTCTGTACTCTTCACTTCTGCTTTTTCTCCCTCCCTCAGCTGGAAGCACAGGTCGTTGGTTTTAAGGCTTTCTTCTTTCCTAACGTAGTGTTTCAAAGCTGTATGTTTCCCTCTGGGCACCGCAGTAGCAGCGTATGAACATTTCGAGTCTGTTGTGTTTTCATCGCTGTCCAACTCGAAAAAACTCTTTGTAATTCCTTTTTGACCCATAAGCTATTCAGAAGTGTGGTGTTGAGCTTCTGTGTGGATTTTCTAGGTATCTTTTCATAATCGAGTGGTAATTTAACTCTTCTGCTATGTGATGAGGAGCCTGGCTCATGGCTGAGAGCGTATGGGTGAGGCAGGGATTAGTGTGGGAAGGACCCGGAATCCGCCTCCTCACCGACACAGCGGACTCACTGGCAGGCTCCGTCTAAGGTGCCTGGCGCTGGAAGTTAGAGTCAGAGTCATTAGGCAAGAGAAAGAAATAAAAGGCATCCAAATTGGAGAGGAAGAAGTAAAATGATCTGTTTGCAGATGACATGATCTTATATGCAGAAAACTCTATAAAGACGCCACAAAGAAGCTGTGAGAACCAATAAGTAAATTCAGCAAAGGAGCAGGATGTAAAGTCAACACACAGGAATCAGCTGCATTTCTAAGTACAATGAACAAATCTGAAAAGAAACTACAGAAAGAAGCCCACTTACCATCGCATCCAACAATAAAATACTTAGGGATTGACTTAATCAAGGAAGTGAAAGACATGTAGAATGAAAGCTGTCAAACACCGCTGAAGGAAAGTAAAGAAGAGGGAAATTCATGGAAACAGATCCCGTGTTCATGGACCGGAAGACGTAATGCTATTCAAACGCCAGTGTCAGCCCAAGCATTCCACGGTCAGTACAGGTCCTACCAAGAGAGCATGATTTTTTTTTTTTTTTTTGCAGAAATAGAAAAACCCATCCTAAAATTCATATGGCCTCTCAAGAGACCCTTAATAACAACAACAACAGAAAAATGTTGCAAAAGAACAAAATGAGAGAATCACACAAAAGTCACACAAAAGCTTCACAACATGGGATCTGGCAATGATTTCTTTGGACATCACACCAAGAGCACAGTAACAAAAGAAAAAATATACACGTTGGACTTCATTAAATTTAAAAATTCTGCGCATCAGGAAACACTGTCCTTGGAGTAAAAAGGCAGCCCATTGAATGGGAGAAAATATTTGCAAATCCTGTATCTGATAAAGGACTAATATCCATAATATAGAGAGAAGTCCTACAACTTCAGAACAATAGAAAACAGGTTGGATCAGCAATGGGCAAAGGACGTGAGGGGCACCCGGCCGGCTCAGTCAGAGAGGCATGCAACTCTTGATCTCAGGGTCCTGAGTTTGAGCCCCACCTTGGGGGCAGAGATGACTTAATAAATATAAATATTTTTTTAAATGCATAATAGACATTGCTCCAAAGAAGACCTGTGAATAGCCAGTAAGCACACGAGAAGATGCTTGACATCACCATCATTAGGGAGATGTGAAGCGAAACGACAGTGAGTCACTGCCTCACACTCCTTAGGTCAGTTACCGCTAATAAAACAGAACAGAAAACAGCAGGTACTGGGGAGCTGCGGAGAAACTGGAATTCTTGTGTGCTGTGGGAGGGAATGCAAAATGGCCCAGCACCCCTCCTTCTATGTAAATATACCCCAAAGAATCCAAAGCAGAGTCTGAAAAGATACTTGTACACCGTGTTCATAACAGCATTATTCACGGTAGCTCAAGTGTGGCAGCCCACGTGTGCACAGATGAACGGATAAACACAGTGTGCATGAGATGTGAGATGGCACATTATGCAGCCTTAAAAAGGAAGGAAATTGTGCACTGAATCTTGAGTAGTTTATGCTCAGCAGTCTAAGCCAGTCACCAAAGGACAAATGCTTCCCGATGTCATGAGTAACAGGAGCTGAGAGCAGCCCAAATCATGGAGACAGAAAGTGTGGCTGTGGGTTCCAGGGGCTGGGGTGCTCCCAGAAGTAAGGGACCCAGTAGAGAGACAAACTGACGGTGTAGGTGAGTGGGGCGAGTCAAGAACATGGGCTTTTGAGAATTGAGGATGGAAAGATCTGGAGCCGGGGCTGAAGGGTGAGCCTCTGGGAGGAAGAGGCCGTGTCCTTGGTTGTAAAGATGGGAGGAAGAAAGAAACTTGTGATGGGAGTGAAGGGGACTTCCCTTCCGCGGCTCTCATCTTCCCAGAGCTCAGGTTCCTGCTGGAGAACAAGGCAAGGGAGAGGAGCCCGTGGGGAGTGCCAGGGACCACTCTGAAGCCCGAAATAAAGAAAATCGGACCGAACTCCGAGCTCCGCCACCCAATAAAGGGCTTCTGACTTTAACCTGAAGGCTACTGGGAGCCATTGAGGGTTTTGAAGGGGGGGGGGATATGACCAGCGTCCCGTGTTTTCGAGTGTGATCTGGCTGGAGTGTGCTGTCTTCCCAGCAGATGCCCAAGGCCTGGGGGGTCCAGACCCCAGCAGAATAGAGAGCCCTCGCTGGGGAGACGGGCAGAGAGGTGGCTCTGAACTCCGTCCCCGCAAACAGCTCCTCCCGTCCTCTGGGGTCCTCACCTGTGTGTGTCCTTTTGAGGAAGAATGAATGTTAATTCCTCTCCCTTGCTGGACTGCAAAGCCGCATTTGGGATATGGTGATAAATCAGACGACAGATCTTCTCTGTGTTGCAGTGAGGTTTCTTCACCAAGGTCATATAATATCCGCCACCTGAAACAACATTTCAGAGACCCTGAAGCGCCCTCACTCCTTTCCCGTGGCTCAGAATGCACAGCTCCGCAGGAAAGTGGAGCGGGGCGGGGCGGCCCTGGGGGGCTGATGGAAACCCCAGGGAAGTCGCTCTCGAGGCTCTCCTGGGCTCTCATTAAAGGGGCGTGAGGCCGACAATAAGAGAAATGGGGAAAATCTATAGATTATTATCAGTGACATGCGCTGAGGAGAAAGACAAACATGGGAGGGGATTGGGGGGGTCGAGGAGTGTGATTCTAAACAGGGTCATGAGACCTAAGTGTGGCCAGCGCTGGCCAGAGAGGGAGCTGGCAAGGCATGCTGCTTTGGCCAGTGGGACCGAGGGTAGGAGCACAGCAGGGGACTGGAAGAGCACTGGAAACGCCACTGGGTGATGGGACCAGGCCAAGCAAGGCCCTGCGGGCCAGTCCTAGGACTCTGACTTTCTCTTGGTGGGAGGGAAGATCACTGTGGAGCCAAGCAGAAGGGTAACACAGTCATTCGGACAACCGAGCAGAGGCGGGGGGGTGAGTTAGCCGGCGAGTGCAGTAATCCGGGAGGGGATGGACGACAGGCCAGGGCGCTAGCCAGGCGTGGAGGTAGGAGAAGGGAAGGCCCCCTGGGGCTTGCAGACCGATGGGATCTGGGCTCTGAGAGATGGAGAGGTCAGGGAGCCTCCAAGGTTTTGGCCAAGCTTCCACGAGAAAGGAGCTATCTATACTGGGGGCAGTGGGTGTGGTCACTGAGAGCAGGGGCCCCCTCTCTGCTTAGGGTTTGGACGAGCCGCACAGAGCTGGTCGGCGTCCACGCAGCTGCGGAGTAGGCTCCAGGTGCACGCCTGCGGTGTTCAGGAAGGCGTCTGGGCTGGAGACACACACAAGTTCCAGCACAGGAGACCCGATGACGTCCGGGCGTGGGCAGAGGCACGTCCACGCCACGAGCAGCAGAGACCCGGAGGGCGTGGGGTCCAGGAGAACAAGGGGGCCGCCGTGGAAACCACCCACACCCGCCCAGGCGCTCCGCACACACTGCTCACTCCTTGAGGAACCCGGTTTTTGAGGTCCGTTTTCTAGATCGGACGGGGAAGGCTGAGGTCGTCCTGGCCACATGGATGGAGGCTACGAACCGGCAGAGTGAAGCTCAGACCTCGATCTCCTGACTCGGGGTCTCAGACTGTCTGCACCTCGCTCCCCGCTCCTGTCTCGGGGGCCCTCCGGGGAAGCAAACTGTCCCCGGGCCAGGGCCAGGGCCAGGGCCCGTGGGGAAGGGAGGCCGCCGGCCCGCCCGCCCACACCGCTCACCGTACTTCCGCTTGAGGAACATCGAGGACCCGCAGCACTGCAGCTCCCCCTTGGCCATGATGGCCACGCGGTCCCCCAGCAGGTCAGCCTCGTCCATGAAGTGCGTGGTCAGCAGCACGGTGCGGTCGCTCTTGTGCTGCTGCAGGAGGTCCCAGATGGCCCTCCTGGAGAGGGCGTCCATGCCCGAGGTGGGCTCGTCCAGCATCAGCACCTGCGGGCAGAGCGGCGGCCGCTGGGGGTGGGGGCAGAGCGGGGTCTGGGGCCGGGGCCGGCTGTGCAGGAGGCCCCGTGAGGCTCCGGTTTGGGAAGATGTGGCCGTCCCCACGCTGGCCGGGCCGCTCTGCCGGCGTCCGGGGGTCGCAGCCAGCCCGAGCCGCGTGGGGGCTGGAGCCCGAGGCCCCAAGCGGCCGTCCCTGTGCACGGCCTCCTGCCCACCTACCTTGGAGCCCGCTATGAGGGCGATCCCGATGGAGAGCTTGCGCCTCATGCCCCCGCTCAGGAACCGGCTCAGGGTGTCCTGCTTGTCCTCTAGGCCGAGCACGTGCAGCGTCCGCTGGACTTCCTCGGGGCACTTCCGACGGGACAAGCCCTTCAGCTGCGAGAGCGGGGACGGAGTGGTCCGGCGGGGGCTCCCGCGGGACAGTGGCGCTGGCCTGTCCAGTCCGAGAGGAGCCTGGCCTCGGTGTCGTCCCGTTCCTTCCACGAGCAGCACCTGGTGGCCTCATGTCCCTCCCCACCTCCCCGGTAGACGCCCACCAGTCCAGCCAGCACTTTGCTAGCATATACGTAAACTCGGCACAAGAGGCTTACTACCTTTGGGGAAAGGATGCGCAAAAGGCTTTTTGCATTTTGAACCGCGTGAACATCCGTCTCATCGACACTGAGTGCGGCACGTTAAAGGATCGCACATCACGACCGAAAGGGAGGTGTCCCAGGGAGCCTCAACCGATGAAAGATCTGTGTTGCGTAATGAAGAGTCTGGCCGGCCTCTCTCCCCAGCTACCGGGAGGGACCTCTAAATCCTTGGGGTGATGGGCATCCTGGTTATTCACCTCGTACCCTGGGGCCACATCGGAGTTTATGCTCCGGACCTGCTGGGAGTGGGGAGGTGTGCCCCAGGATTGGACCTCTCGGGCCTGTGTGATGATGCTCCGAGAGAAATTGGACACTTGGCGGTTAAGTGAGCTACCGGGTGCACAGCCACGTCCCAGCAGGGCGGACACGGGCCCAGACCTCACCCTGCATGTCTCGCTGGTTCCGATTCGTATCCTCTGTAGTCAAACCGTACCCCATGCCCCCGGCCCCTTCCTGAATGTTTAGGGACTCGCGTCCTGGGAGGTTTCAGGGCCTGCCGAGGCTGGGTAGGAAGGCTGCAGGCTGCCCCTCCCCCAGATCGGACGCAGAGGAAACATAGCCCGCCGTCCGTGGACGCACCTGAGCATAGAAAGAAAGATGCTCGTCTATGGTGAGGTCTGGGAACAAGATATCGTGCTGGGGGCACCAGCCCATGCTCCTCCGGATCTCAGCCATATCACAAGAAATTTCATACCCCTTGACATAGGCCCATCCACCTGAAGGGGGAATAAGACCTAGGAGCAAGTACAAGACATATGCCAAGGTCATGTTCCCGCAGAGCACTCCGCAGCCCCAGGGCTCACAGATGCCCAGTGCTCGCATCAGATGGCCTCACTCCTTGTCACGGTCAGTGACCTCCATGGACTGTGTGTTCCGTGACCCTGAAGGAGGACATGTGGCAGGAACGGAGACGGAGACATCCCTCCTGCCTCTGAGGAGTGCCTGTCCGGCTAGGGAACAAACACATGGGCGCACGGAAAGCAAATTACACTGTCGTATGTGCTAGGCGATACTGCGGAAATGGGGTTCGCTAGAACGCTTCACCGACTGAGCCCCCCGGGTGTCCCTCATGCATTAAAGTTCTTAGCAAACACGGGAAAATATAAATTCTGATTTTTTAACTGACTTTTCCACAAAATGGCCTGTTGAGGTCATTTCTCCACATCCACGAAATCTCTCTAATTTGGGCAGACTAATAAGATTTCACTGTTACGAATACACGCTCTTCATTTATCCAACGCATGCTAAGTAGTTAGGCAGTGGTTTTTGGTGTTCCCGAAGTATGAACTTGTGAGAGGACTTGGCCTTCTTTCCCATGTATCTCCTTCCTCTACGTCAACCTAAGCAGATCCGGGGCGCCTGGCTGGCTCAGTGGATCCAGCTCTTGGTTCCAGCCCAGGTCATGGTGTTAGGGCTGCGCCCAGCGGGGAGTCTGAGAAGCTCTCTCTGCCCGGGCCCCTCCTTGTGGGAAGAGGAGCGCAGAGCCGTGTGCCAGCCCCTTGACCGTGTATGAGACCTACTTCCCCAGACGGGAAGAGCCACCGATGCCCTCTCCCGAGTACGGGGTCACGTGAACCACCAGACACACTACAGACGGTAAAACAAGGAAACAGCGAGTGCTTCATAACACACGTTCGTCGGTGAGCTCTGAGGAGGGCCGACGGAGGCACTCGGGGCGGGTGGAAGGCTCCATTCCTTGAGGGGCCGGCCCGGCCCGGGTACCTGCCAGCATGCAGCACAGGGTGGTTTTGCCGGCTCCGCTGTGTCCCAGGAGGACGGTGATCTGCCCCTGGTACAGGTTCATGGTCAATCTTTGACTGCGCTGTGGCTGTCCCTTCCCATGTCATACACCTGTGGAAGAGTCAGCGTGTGACCGACTCCCTAACGGGCCCGGGGCATTCCTGAAGCGTCTACGACCCACATCAAGTCCCAGGGAAGCCGGTCCGTCAGTGGGAATCCAAGTGGGAATGTGGACGGGAGTCCTTCTTTCGGGGTGTAGCTGCCCGGGGCTGCCGGGGAGCCTGACGGGGATGCCATGCTGGGGGTTCTCCCCGACACCCACGCCACAGAGGCCAGGGCTCGAGGATGCAGGGCTTGGAGCTTGGCAGGGAGTGTTCTCCCTGCTTCTCGAGCCACACCTTGCCCCGCGTGACGTGGCAAGCCCCTGGGAAATCATGCCAGAACCACGTGTCTGCAGACAGCCCGTTTTGCGAGCAGAGGGGAGATCCCTGCTCTCGGAAGCCGCACTCGTGCCTGGCTGTTCCCGCTACTGCCATGCGTGAAGGAGCTGGAGCCATCCCCCGTGTCGTGAGTCCCCTGGGCTATGATGGGACACCACCCCGCCCCCCCTCCCTGGCTCACTCCTGCTCCCACAGGCAGAGGAAGGTGGCACGAAGCGTGACAAGGACACCGCCTCTCCCTGCGCTCATCGCATTTGAAGAACAGAAGATGCCGAAGGAGAAAATGGTGCTCTGTGGGACGTGTGGGGGCACAGGGCCAATGTCTAGGCATCCTGTCCCAGGAGCGCCTGGTCACGCGGGGCTCTGTGTGTGAACGCTGGTGACAAACACACCCATCTGGAAGCCCGTCCCGAGAGCCAGGGCACCCAGTGACCAGGTGTGTGAACCATGCAGGAACGGCGTGAGCCAGTGAGGGCTGAGCTCCAGGGTGTCCCTGGGCAACCGCGCTGGTGCGGTGGGGCTGGGGAGAGTGTTTCAGGAGATGCCACCGAGACCCTCCATCCTCCTCCGCTCCACTGCACAACAGCAAACGGGAGACATTTCATGTTCGATTCCTTTCCTGAGGACAGCGTCGCAGGAGGAAATCCCACCTCTACCCGAGAACAGACCTCGCAACCACCGTCAGAATTAAACACAAGCCTCTACAAAGTATTCGTCAATTCTAGGAGGGAGGGTCATGCGCTGATACCTTGTAGAGATGCTGGATTTCAATCCCCTTCACCAAACTGGTGGGCTCTTCCTGAAAGAATTTGCTTTCCGCAGGTTTGCTGGGGTCCCCGATGTCCAGCACGGGCCATGTGAGGGGCACGGACTGTCCGCGCCAGTGTGACGGCTGGACAGAAAGTCAACCGACATTAGCCTGTTCGGGTGAATCGACTGTCGTCGTATGGTAAATTAAATTCTGCACGCTGCCCGCCCCCAGCCCCCCACCTTTCCTGGTATCCAGCATTTAACGGTGCCCGGAGAAGCCAAGCAACCTGCTCGTGGACTCACTACCGGTAAGCTGCATTTTCGCCCACAGCTCATGGTCCCGAGGTTGGGGCGAGCAACAGCGGGTGCACTGCACCCAGGCTCCCAGCGAGCTGGGGAAGCCGTCATGTCGGCTGACAGCCTCCCTGGCTGAGCCTGGAGAAATCCTGGGGTGGACACTCCTCAAGGGCCAGCAGGCAGCCACGCAGCGCCCCGAGACGGGGTCACCCCCTTCAAAGACCGTGGACAGGCCCGCAGGTGACCCCACTTTGTAAGGACACAGTGACTCTGAGAAGTTGTTGGGGTCGCCAAGAAAGGGGGAAGGGAAGCGGTGGTGTCCCGTGCAGACTTTCGGGGCCTGACACGGGGGTGGGCACACCAGGACATCGCAGACACGTCTGTAAGGGACTCTGCATGGGACACCCACGGGGGCAAACGTCAGAGACACTGAGATGCGTTCATCGCTCTCCCTTGCCGACCACAGCTGGTAGGTTTGGGGTGAATCCTGGCTCGAGAATCTGGCTTAGATTTCCTGGGATTGGAGATTTCCATCAGGACACCACTGAGATGGCTGAGGGTACGGGGTGGGGGCTTGTAAAAAGGTCTAACGTGGCCTATGGAACAGCAGCACCGGTACTCACCGTGACAAAGAAGTACCACGGCTTAGAGACACCATACTCGCCCGGGAGGACGGCCTCCACGTAGCAGGCCACCACGCTGTACAGGACGGCGTCCAGCAGCAGCAGCAGCAACACCTGGCAGAAGTTAAACTCCCCGCTCACGCTGCCGATAGTTTTCCACCGCTTACCCGTGCCTGAGCCAAAGGAAGGACGACCTCACTGCACGAAAGCCAAACTGCTCCCCCCTATACCGCTGGCAACCAGGCTGCTGGCAGGACTGGACTGCCTGGGAGTCAAGGGACGGGCACAGGGAAGGGGAAAGCGAACGTTGTGGGCTCTCCAGTGAGATAAGCCACTTTCAGGATTGCCAGAAGTGCTAGTGGTTTCCTTGGGCCAAAAAGGGGGTTCTCCACGCATCTGCACCTGGTGGCCTGTTGTCTTGCTGGGCTAATTCTCGCTCCAAGTGAGGTCAGGGTAGTTACCTCCTTACCCTGCAAGCTTGCGTTCTCATCCCCCCTGGGTGGATTACCGGCCCGGCCCCGGGGACCAGCGTCCCGGGAGCAAGCGTCTGGTGCCAACCGTGATCACAGGGGCTCCCGCTCTGTGCTCTGAATCTGGCCCCATACTGTTCATTCACCATCCGCGCAGGGCCTCATGCACACCCACTCCCGGAGCAGGGAAGGGACGGAGGAAGGGCTCGGAACCAGTTCCAGGACGCCAGGGGTGGGGAGTGATCTGTGTGATGCCAAGTGCCAAAGCTAAGTCCCAGCTGACGAAGCTTCTCCTTTTGAGCCTCCGAGATACGGAGCGTCTGCTGCCACCTGGCAGGCTCGTGGTGGTGGTGGAACCGCCAACACAGCAGGAGAGACTCGAGGGGGTGGTGAGCGCACAGATGGGCCAGGTCCCTGGTCGCCAGTGCTTGCTGAGCGCCTGGGGATTCAGTTCCAGTCAGGTGTGTTGGGGGTTGGGGGGCCCCGCGGAGGCTGCATTTCCAAACCCGCTGGTGAGGGGGACCAGGGGCCAGAGACCCACGGGGATCCCATTCCCATGACCGGTGCGTCGACATGACTTCCCAGAGTGTCGCCGTCCGCTGGCCACCAATCAGATCTCACACGACTCAGGACGGGTTCCAAGGTTGCAGTGGCCACGGGGCACACTTGGCTCCCAAGAGGTCCATCCCTACTCAGTGCAGATCTGCAGGGTACAGAGGGCAGAGGGGCAAGGCTCCTTTCCCACCTCGGCAGACATGGGATTGCCGGTCAACTTTAGGTATTGACTGTGACCGTGTGACCAAAGAATCACAAAACAGAGCTTTAACAAGCAATCCAAGGGAAGTATCCATGGGACCTGATCCACACCGGGGGGTCAGTGGCTCCCAAAATCCCCAGAGCGCACGCCCCATCCCCCGCCACCCAACTGCCCCTGGCCGGATGTCTGCAGGCAGCCTCTGGCCCACTCCTGCCGCTTGTCCAAGCTGACAGTCTCCCTGTACCTGGTCTCCCTGCACCACTCACATTCCACACAACTCGCCTCTCGCCAGCTCATGACTATTTGTTCCAAACCTTTCTCTTCCTCCCCCTTTTCTCCTTGCTCCTCCAGTTTTCACGATTCCATTTCATATCCAACGTTGGTATATTATTTATACTTCTAAAAAATTTTTTTTCAGTATCGTTGTAGGCTCTACATTATTCGTCTTTAACCAGACTGTGTCATCAAATGACGTGGCGCGAGGCCCGTTCGCGGGGTCTTCCCAGTCCTTCCCCACCCCCGCTACGGTCCTACGTCTCACTTCCGCAGGAGCTCTCAACGCCGTAGGCTTCTCCCGCTTTTGCTGTAGACACTCAGTCCTCTTTCAGAGCAAAAAACCAACAAAACAAAAATACCCCCACGAAAACCAAAGTATTTCCCATTTCCGTTGCCCTGCCCCCATCCGTTGCATCCAGACTGCTGTGTGCCAGCCCGTCCTGCTCCCCGACGTCTCAGCCTCCCCACAGAGGAGGTGGGCAGGGGCCTGAAGTCTGCTCTCCCTTCCACCGCTTCGGGACTCAGCCAATCTCCTGCTTACTCCTTTCTCTCTCTATCCGACGCTTCTAGTCTTCCGTTGGCTCAGTACTGAATTAACGTGATTGGCTCCGCGTAGCCAAGCCTGAAGTAAATTATCTTTCCTCTCCTCCTGGAAAGTATTTATGCCCTCTAGGTTCTGACATTACGCCCTCAAAGAGCCCCTCTTATGTATTTTAATCTCACCTGTTCAAAACACAACAAAACCCAACAAAAACTGAAGGCGTCTCTCTCAGGGTGAACCACTGGCTTCGGCTCCCATTGAAAAGCACTTTTGTTCGCCTTTCCGTTCCTCTGGCTTCTCGTAAGGTTTTCCTCCTGCCGCCTGCTGTGCTCTCTCGTACGCTGGTGTGTCCCATGTAGACGTCTTCTTCGTATTCTTGTCTGGGATTTGCCGGGCCTCCTGACGTCCAGTTTGGGGATAGATCTGGGCTCTGTCTCTTCAGAAGCATTTCTTCTGCCCCCTTCTCTCATTTCCTGCGGGACCTCTTCTTAAATGGGGACAAGCCCTCCCCACTCTTCTCTGAATGCTTTCTCAGCTCTCGTGCACATTTTCGCATCTTTTTGGTCCTCTCTGCTGCCTCCTGCATGGTTTCTTCTAACCCAGTTCCAGGTCATAACCCTCTCTCAGCGGTTTCAAAGGCACCGCGAGCCCACCCAGTACACGCAAACACGGCCTTTAGAGAAGAACGTATACTGAGCGTTGCTGTCTTAACAGTCTGAGCCTTGGTAATTCCGAAATGTGGGGACTTTTCTGCTGGCTTTCACCTACGGTGGCTTATTGCCTTGGGTTTTTAATTGCTTTCTACTGTGTTGCGTTTTGCCCTGGAGAACGCGTCTGGGAGGATTCGCCGTGATGGGGATGAAAGTGCTTCTGCCAGGCACCGGAGTGGGGGCTCTGTCCTCCTGGGCCACCGGAAATCACGTCCCCACTTGAGGGTCCCTGGACGGCCCTTGCGGGGTGACCCCGGGCTGCAGCCCCGCCAGGTTCTCAGGGGCAAATTTCTTCTGGGTTCTCCTCCACGATGTGGTCAGCACCACAGCACCTTCCCCAAGGCCCTCTCGTTTATGAGGGGTTGGGGTGCAGATGCAGGGACCGACTCCCTGGCTCCCCTTCAAGAAAGCCGGGGAGGAGAAGAGAATCTCAGCTGTCAACAGAAAGTCCCCATAAAGTTCCCCTATCCACTCCCTAACATAGGAGGAGTCACAGAGACCTTATGAATTCTACTTTCCCCCGTGCTCATTTTGGAAGTGTGGCCTCATCAGTGTTTTCTTAAGGACAGCCACTCACCAGCAATAAATTCTGGTTAGCTTCACACCCTTAACCCATTGAGACCACCCTGTCTAACAGAGAAGTAAATTGGTAGGTGGTTCCAGGTCATTGGAAATTATCCCTGTTGCAGTAAGAAGACACACAAACCAGACCCAACCTAGAACTCCCATCCCTGCTGCCTGTCCCTAAACCAAGCCGTAGCGTCTAGAACCAGAACTCGAGATAGAAGCCAACGCTGAGCTGTGAGGTCGCTGAGAGGTCGCTTGCTACGGTGTCCACGGGCGTTTTCCTGCTGCTGAGATGGATGCCAGTTCCACCCAGAAAGCCTCCTGAGCCCAGCGGGCCCTCGTTTTGGATGTGTTCGCTGCCAGCTTCTGCGGTGGCCGTCGGCATTCTGAGGAATTCTTCTGCCTCCGGAAGGTAGGACAAGCGAGCCCGTGGGGGTGCGCTTCCCAAAGTGGAGCTTGCGAGGCCCCCGGGCCTCCCCCAAGTCTGTGCTCGAGGAACGTGGCGTCTGCGAATGCAAAGTTCTAACGTGCTCACCGACTCAACTCTTGTCTTTTCCATGGAGCTACATAGGCTTGTAGTTGCAAAGTCGTTACTGGCTTTAGCTGGGCTCGCAAACCGCCGAGAGCCGTGTGGCGTGAACCGTGTCCTACGACCCACCGTGGTTGCCAGGGTGTTGCAAGCGCCCCCGAGGCTGGAAGAAGCTGCCTGTGAGGGCCTCGCAGAAACGCAGGTCCCCTGGCCGCTCTGAGCTTCAAGGTCACCCCCCACCCCGCGGGAAAGAGAGGGCTCACCTTTTATCTCAAATGTGGAGATTGATCGGACCCCCAGCGCCATGGCCACGTTGGAGAGCAGACAGAAGGCCAGCTTTTGGAAGTGCGTTCTCTGGGGGTAGCTGAACGTGAAGTACAGGTGCGCGAGGTACGTGAAGGAGAAGCTGATGCCCCCAGCGGCAGCTGCGACGTGGGCTGCGGGAAGACACGGCAGCGGCCATCAGCGGCCATCAGCCACGCGCCAGGTGGCCCACGCGCCTTCCTGCCATGGCCGGGGACGGGGGGGGGCGGATCTGCGGGGACCTCTGCATCCCAGAAGGGAAGGAGCCTTTTACGGAATCTGTGCTTCCACTATGGAAAGGCTAAGGGTACGTGCGGCACTAGCCGGCAGGCATGGATCCGTAAGGGCACAGGTCTGTGACTGCCGAAGACAGCATGGACAGCGTCTCCTACAGCCCGAGCCCTCCCTGCACAGATGGTGGCCCACGCCGCAGCCCCCAGCCCAGCACCCTACCGACAGCCCCTTACAGAGCCTTCACGCCCTCCCTGCTGGCAGAGGAGGAAACGGAGGCTCAGCCACAGTAAGTATGTCTGTGCAGGGTTGTGCAGCAAGGGAAGCACGGTCAGGGTCTCGGGGTTTTCCCGGCTGTGAGCACGGCCCTCCGGACTGGGAGATGAGCCAGGCCAACCGCAGGCTGGGAGACGAGCTCGGGTGCGATGCCGACGTTCAGCTCCCGGGAAGTGGAGAGCGTAGGAGCCGGGGAGGTGAGGATGGCATCCATGAAGGAAAGAGCCCCGTTGAGGCTCCAGGCGGCCCTGCCCGAAACCGGCTTTATGAACCATGGCTGACCTTGGATCTTGTCGACGTCTCTGAGTTTCAGGTTCTCCGTTTGTAACAGGCCTTAAGAACTGCTAATATTTATTAAGCTTTTGCTCTGTACCAAGTACTGTTCTCAGCACTTTCCCTGCAATATCCCATTTAATCCTCATAACAGAGTCACAAATACTGTGGCTTTCCCGTTTCCCAGAGGGGGAAGTGGATGCACCATCTGTGTGGACTTGCTCAAGGTCAGGGACCACACAGAGAGCCCCATGAGGCCAGCACAGCTGTCAGCCTCGGTGCGGAGGGGAGAAAGGCTGCGGTCCATTGCAGGGTCGAGAAGAGGTTCCAAAGTGCTGTCTCAGAGTGGTGTGAGGCAAACTGACCAGGGGACGTGGGTGGGTTGCAAGGCCAGAGGACCTCACTGAGACCCGGAAACCAGTCCGCCCAGAGTTTTTCTCCAGCCAAGTTCCCCTGCTCAGGTGTAGGTGCAGGGGGGCGGGGAGCCTGGTGGGAGCTGGGCTGAGGACCTGCAACGCCAGCTCAGCAGACAGTCGACAGGTGTAAGTTTAAGGAGTCAAAGTTGTGATGGGCCCCGGGATCGGAGCGGCTAGGGAAGCCGGCCAGGCACACGGTGGGGTGACGGCTAGTGGAGCAGCGTTAGGGGCGACGATCAGGTGTCTCGATGGGGGTCAAAGAATTACTGGGAGGGGCGGGTGCAAGAGGGAAGAAGCTAAACAGGGAGATGGGGGGGCCAAGAATGAGGTGTTTGGAGCAAGGCGTTACTGGCAAGGCTGAGGTTTAGAGAATGAAGCACTCCAGCGAGTGCGGAAGGGGACAGGCAGCAGCGGAGTCCTGGGTAAGAAGGAGTGTGGTCTAGTCGGTTGACACCCTCCTGGTAAAGGGGCTAAGTGCCCTCAGCAGGGAGGGCAGAGGCGTGGTCTGGAGGCAGCAGGCGGGAGTGGGGAGACACCTTCCCACCAGCCGCCTGGCGGTGGGTGGGGTCCTGGGTGGCAGCGCTAGCGTCCTTCAGAGATCGCCAGGGAGGCATTTCCTGGGGCCCCGTTATAAATCACTGATATTTGGGGAGGTGTTTTAAGTTTCAATTTTAATTTGATTTTAATTTTAATTGTTTTCTCGATTTCCTTTTTGGAGCGTTCACTGCTAGTGTCTAGAAACACAACGGTTTTCTACATGTTCATCTGTAGCCTGCAAACTTGCTGAACTTATTTAATGGCTCTAAAAGTTGCTATTGTGGATTCTTAAGGGTTTTCTCTATATAAGATCGTGTCATGTTTGCATGGAGAGAGTTTTGCTTCTTCCTCTCCAGCTGCCTTTTCTGTTTCATTCTTAATTGCTCTGCCTAGAACTTCCTGCACATTGTTGAGCAGCAGAGGGGAGAGTGGTCATCTTATCTTTTTCCCGATCTTATGGGGAACGCTCCCAGTTGTTCGGCATTGAATCTGAGGTTAGCGATAGGGTTTTTGTGAATGCTCACTATCGGTCGAGATAATTCCTTTATATTCTAGCCTGTTAAGTGTTTTTATCATGAAAAGCACTGGATTTTGTCCCATGCTTTTTCAGTACCATTTGAGACAAATAAAAGTGAATAAAATTGTGTTTATTTTTTCCTGCATCCAAAGTAGTGTGTTACATATATTGTTTTTCATATGTTGAATTATTCTTTTTCTATTAAGCTTTTTATTTTAATTCGAGTATACTTAAAATACAGTGGTGATTATCCTTGTATCCTTGGTATAAATCCCCCTTGGCATGGTGTGTAATCATTTAACTATGCTGTTAGTTTAGTTTGCCAGTATTTTGTTGAGGACTTTTACATCTTTCTTTATAAGGAATACTGGTGTGTAGTTTTATTGGTCTGCTGTCTTTCCCGGTTTGGGTATCCAGATAATGGTGTCCTACAGAATGAGTCTCGAATATCTGTGTTCTTATTTTTCAGTTGTAAGTTTTCTTTCATTTATTCTGTGGGTTACCTTTCCACTTTCTTGATGGTACCCTTTGAAGCACAAAAGTTTTTAATATTGATTTAGTCCAATTTATTGAGCCTCTTCCTTATGACTTAACGCTGTTGGTGTCATGTCTGAGAAAACACCGTCTAACCCAAGATCACAAAGATTCATGGCTGAATTTTCTTTTAAAGGTTTTGTAGTTTTAGCTCTTCCCTTTGGGTTTATAAGCAACTTTGAGTTAATTCTTATGTACCGTGTGAGGCGGAGTTCCAACGTCATCCTTGTGTATGTACACACACAGCTGGTCCGGCGCTCTTTGTTGAAAAAACTAAACCTGCCCTGCTGAAATGTCCCGGCCCCTTCATCAAAAAGTCAGTCCATCGCGAACTCTGCAGCTGTGCTACATTCCTGCTCCCACTTGGGACTCTTCCTGCTATTTGCTCTCTAGTCTGGTCTTGCTTTGCTTTGCATCTGACCTCTTTGGTTTTGCCTTTTCTTTCTAGCCCTCTGCTTCCTTCTTGTGCTTAACCACAAGTTCAATATTTTGGGTTTTCGTTTTCAGCACCATGTTAGCCTTAACTTTGAAGCACCCTTTGATACTCGTGCTCCAAGGTCCCCCCATAATTCTCTTGCTCGACCCCCCACTCCGGACATGCTCACCCTGGAGCTACTGCAGGATGGGGAGGACTCAGGATAGAGTTCGAATCAGGAGACGGCGTCCAGGCGCAGTCAACCTCCCAAGGAACACACTCCCGTCTTGGCGGAGTTGGTATTTGCCAGGACCCACATATTAGAATATTACAATGTGATGTTTGATGTAAAATATTCACAGATGTCAAAAGTAAACTGCCTGGCTTCATTTATAACATATTTTTATTTTTGCCCAAGTTCTCGTAAGCCCTCTTTCTGTCACCAGCTGCTGGACCAATCCTCCATGAATGTTTTTACCTCTGCCTCTCTATTGGAATTCTACCACACTCTGACTTCGACCCCTTTTCCTGTTATTTGTGTCCCTAGTAGTTCACTGATTCTCCCAATTATTTTATTTTATTTTATTTTATTTTATTTTAAAGATTTTATTTATTTATTTGGCAGGCAGAGAGAGAGAGAGAGAGAGGGAGGGAAGCAGGCTCCCCACTGAGCAGAGAGCCCGATGCGGAGCTCGATCCCAGGACCCCGGGATCACGACCTGAGCCGAAGGCAGAGGCTTTAACCCACTGAGTCACCCAGGCGCCCTTGATTCTCCCAATAATTTTAGAGGTAACACCCCTCCTGACAGGACTGAAGTCCCAGGAATTCCGTTCTTACTATGGTGTCCTGGAACTACCCTACCTTTGTGCCCAAGTCACAACCAAGACCTGGAAACCATCGGCACTGTCGCCTTACCCATCATCTCCATCCAACATGGGACTTAACCATTTGCATCCCTCTGAAACGACATCGAGAAGCCAAACAACAGAAAAACATACCTACACGAGCTGGTTCCCTAAGCCTTTGACAGGGCATGGAATAAGCCCATTGCTACAGTAACTTCGGAGGTGACAACCTGGCTTTGGAGGCACGATAATTCATGCCGTGGGTGACCCAAAGAGCGGCGCCACCAGAAACAGAAGTCAACAACACCCTCCCTGACAGCCAGCGGCGTCGGGACTCACCTTTTTGAAAGAATGTGCTGATCGTGAACGCAAAGGAAATGGTGGCCGTGGCAAAGCACAGTAGAAAAACGAATATCAAAGTAGGGTCGCTGTTTCTGAACACCGTCACACCGTTCACCTGCGAGGCAGCCACAGGCGCCCGCCGTTTTTACATGGAGGGAATGCGGAGAAGGCACGAAATACCCGTTAACAAGGCGGGAATTAAACACACACACAGAAAACGCACGAGATGATCCTAATTAAACAACACGAGCCAATTTTTTTTGAGGCAGACTTTGGTCCGGTGTCCACGATCATTTACAGATGATGCCTTGTCCGTGCACCTTTCTTTAAAGAAGGCGCCGGTCTGAATGCAGGTGAATCTCTTGCTGTCGTGTGGGAGTGTATCACATCGGTCACTGTCACTATGACAGAGGACTACCGTATTCCTTTTGGCAGCTTACGGCTCTCTCCCCTTTTTGACACGTTCTGGCCATTTTCTTTGTTTTACGTGTTGTGCTGTGTGGTCTGGGTTTTCCTGCCTTCCCTTACCCGAAGGGCCCCAACTTTGGTAATTTAGAAGGTAGATTTTCATACATCCACGTGGGGGATGATAATTTAGTCCTTGAATGGAAGTTAGCAAATCGGAACCCCGAACTTCAACAGCAGCGTGGAAGGAAAATTTAACAAGGCAGCAGGGGCCTGAGAGACGTCCTCATCTCTTCCAAGAACTGTTTTCAGCTCTCCGTAGAGTGCAAAATGTGCCATGTCTTAAAGTTTCTGAAATACATTTCTCGGAATTCCACTTTCCTAATGAAACTAACCATGCCCGTGGCCAGCCCTCGCAGACCCGGGAGCGAAGGAAGGCCAGGCTCTCCCGGGCGGGGCACGCTCCGCGCCTGAGCCCCACCAAGCTGCAGTACCGCTAGCTGTTGCTCGCCGGTGCCGAGTCTCGGCACACACCCCCGGCCCCCCTCTGCACTGCTGAGCACCTCCCGGGGCCCGGAGACGCATACCTGCATGCAGAAGAGGACGGTCACGAGAGAGATGGCGATGAGGGCGGAGATGAAGAACGCGAGGAGCCAGGCGGGCCGGCGCGGCCGGCTGCTCGCCGCCATGCACGTGTACTCCTGCGGAAAGCGGAAGAGCCCGCGGCCTCTCGCGTTCGGCCGAGACGCCCACGGCCCCTGCCCAGCCAGCCTCGGTCTAGAGCACACTGTGTGCGCCAGCAGGCGGAGCAAACTGGCCACGGCGGGTGTGGCCGGGCAAGGTCCCGGGAGGCTATGTCTAGACACAGTCACAAGAATCAGTCGAAGGGGAAGAAAATTAGAGAGTAAGAAGGTCGATGGCCGCCAAAGAGCGAACGGTGAGGACAGAAGTCATGGGAGCAGGGACGGCAGGGGAACCCGTGGGAGCAGCCGTGTGCCCGGCGGGGCCTCCCGGCAGAGGGCTCCCAGCTGCAGCAGCAAAACAGCAAGCTGCTCCCGGGGGGCCACTCCCCTCCTGTGCATTTCTCAGGGAGCCCCTCAGGAAGCCCCTCCTGATCGGGGTCCCCGCCCGAGCCCCAAAGCAAGGGCTCACATCGTCACAACAGATGGGGTCGCCTCAGTGACGAGCGGGTCCACGGACAGAAGACCGTCCACCTCCCAGCTCCCCTTGGAGGCCCCTCTGAGGCCTCGGCAAGCTCTGCCCTGCCTTGGCCTCACCCCGCTCCGGCCATTTCTCACTCGCGCTCCCGCCCCTCTCGGTGCCGGCAGAGGCCCGCGTCGCAAGCCGGCCCGGTTACCTTCAGCCTCTCCTTCTGCCGGGCCGCGGAACTGACGATGTTGAGCTCGAGGCCGAGGAAGCTGAGCGTGAGCAGGAGAGGGAGCTCGCTCTGCAGAACCAGCAGGAACGTGTCCTGGATGTGGGCCCCGTGGGGGAACCGCTTCACCAGCACCGTGAGACCCTGGAACATCTGCGCGGTGGCACTGTGGCCGTGGTGCCGCATGCTGGCCTTGTCCGGCGCGTGCTGTAGGGCCAGGAAGCCCTCCTTGCTGTATCCTGCACGAGAGCAGAGCGCACAGCGGGCGTGAGACACCCAGGAAGACCCGCGCGGCAGGACACCCGATGAGCCAGACGGCTGCGGCTAACGGGTCATGAAGGCGCGCCGGCAGAAGGGCGACAGGCCCCCCGCTGCTGCTGCGCGGAAGAAGGAGCAGAGTTGCCACGGCCCCCATGGCTGTGACTGGTGCCTTCTATCAGAGACCGGGGCAGAGGTGTCCTGAGGAGACAAGGGACGTCCTCCGCAACGCTCTCGTGTGATGGGCCCACAGTCCCTCTGCTCGGTGCTCGGGCTCCAGGGAAAGGGGACCCGCTCTGCACTTCCAGTCATCCCAGCCGCATGGCATGGTTCAATTCAAAGCACTTGGGAGACACGGCGCCCCTCCCCGACTGTGACCTGTCTCGGAGCTGTCACCGCTGTGTTCCGAGGGTAACGGGCATCGGCGTTTGCTGCCAAGCCTCGCAAACAGTCGTGACCGTCAGCAGCCCCTGTTTTGATACAGTGTCGTCGGTGGGCTGAGGTCATCTTTTGGGAAAAGATGAAGGCTGAAGGGCAGAGACGCCGGGCCTGGGGGTCTTGTAAGAGGTAATGGCCCCGCTTCCGAGCGCGGTTCCGGGCCCTCCTGTGGGCGGAGCCAGGGCGGGGCACACAGGAGTGAGGTGGAGGCGACCAAGGTCTCCCGAGGGCCCCGCCCCCTGTGGACCCCAGATCCGGGAGGATGAATGTGGGAGGAACACGCGGTCGGTACTAAAATCCCAGGAATGTCACGTGGTCTTGACTGCCTGTTGGACTTTCCTCCGCAGAAGGGCTGGAAACTTTCTGGAATCACTTGGGTCTGTGAGCCCTCAGTTTACATTCTCCCTCGCTGGCCGGGCAGGCCCAGGGTGTGGGCTCGTCCCATAGTGAGGAGCAGCTCGTGCCCTGCAGGAAGCCCCCCCCCCCCCCCCCCCCGCCCCGAGCCCCTGACAAAGAGGGAGCCCAGAGCTCTACGGTGACACGGGGAGCGTGCGTCCTTCGGGAGGACGAGCGGGTGTCCCCAGCCTGCCTGAAGCTAAGGCAAATGTTAGTGCACAAAGAGGCATAAGGGATGCCCCCTCCTTGTTTCTGTAAAACGCTTCCTTCCTTCTGGGAGCAGTTCAACGTCGCTGCAACACAGGGAGACGCTTCACTGCCGCTTCCTCTAGAATGAAAGCTTTTCGCCCAGCGACACTCTCTGTTTCTCCCTCATCCTCTCATGAAACGTTCAGGGCCGGTGGTGCGCACGTGGGCTTCCTCACCAGGGAGGCCCCCGTCGCAATGTCCGAAGGCCCTGGGCACTTGGCTCGGGTTCAGAGGGTAGCGCAGGCCCGTGCACCAGCCCTCCAGGCGCTCATGGTAGGCGGCGACCTTCAAGGCCAAGGGGCTCCTGTGCACGCTGCTCAGGCGCAGGCGGTACTTGATCTGTGGGGGGAAGGGGGGCCACGGTCGCCAGACGCCGATGCCCAGAGGACCCAGGACGGAGCAGCCCCAGGCCTGACGCCAGCCCGGAGCCCCTGTGAGGAGGCCACGGTTGGGCAAGGCATGTGACCTTCTTGCTGTTTCCTCGTCAGGGAAGTGGGGGGAGGTGTTACGGACTGTGGGGTCCAGTCGGGTGACCCTGGGGCGAGCCTGGCCTACGTGCTAGACACGCGTTGCTGGCTGTGGATACATACGTCCGTCTCCGCCTTCCAGCGCCCCATGCAGGTTCTGACACTCTAGACGCGATGGTATGGCCCGACACCAAAGCTTTCCCACCCCAGACAGGAACGCCTGCCTTCCCCTCAGACAGACAGACCTACCACTTTGAGTCCGTGCTTGTCACCGTGGTGACTAGGACCAGTCCTTCTGGAAAATGCCTCTTCCCAGCTCCCTTCTGGGCACAAACTCATTTAAGGCTCCAAGTTAGGAACTACTATTAATCCCATTATGCTGGCAAGGAAACTGAGCCCCAGAAAGGCCATTGCCCTTCCCACAGCTAGACGGCTAGCGGTTGCGGAGTGGGCTCCAGTCCGTAACCAGGCGGCTGGCACGCATGGTCCCCTCCCCTCGGAGGCAGCCTCCCCTGCACGAGCCTTCCCTTGGAAGGAACCTGAGAACCGGAGGGGCCCCCGGGTCTAGGTTGCAAGGAGTGAAACCCGGAGCGTTTACTTCCCTCCTCCGGCAGTAAGACAGGACAGTAACACGGGACAACAGAGGGACAGCTCAGGTGACGAGACTCGCTCATGGACTCACCCCCGGGGCTGGGCAGTGCCATCAGGCCGTGCCAGAGAGGCTGTCCTTACCTTCAGTGGCAGGGGCTGCTTGCTGTCCCTGAAGCTGTGATCCAAGACAATTCCAGCCCACACGTAGAAGCCTTTGGGATCCTGGATTATGTAATTCTCAAAGACGGGCACTGAAGAATAGCCTAGAACTGCAGGGAGAAGACCCAGTCCGTGAGGGGCTGGCGGGATAGCCCACGCAGCCCACCCATCGCCGTCCTCCCTGGGCAGGTGCAGGGGCCCCCACTTCTCGGAGGAGGGCCGAAAGCCTCACTCACTCCCTTGAGCCTTCTGCAAACCTACGAGCACATGGCGGGTGGCCGCGAGCCACGCAAGGACTGGAAGGAAAACCCCGGAACCCACCGTCAGCGCCACATTCCTCTTAGCAAGGGTCAGCCCAGCACCCGGGGCAGAGTACCCACGGTGACACGACAAGACAGGAGCCGGAAGCAATAAAACAGAAGCACACGTTCAAGACCTCAACCCCAAGAAAAGATAAACTGCCTGAGCTGGGATCTTAAGGAAAGACAGAATAGAAATGTTTTCTTCTTGGCGGAGGCCACTGAGGGGTCCCTAGAAATGGGGTGGAAAACCAGCCCGGATACAAAGCCTGAAATGTTTTGGGAGCAGGAGGGCTGCCCACTGAGAAAGGCCCAAAGCAGGGAGGAGGGCTTCTGACCCACCATGTCCCACTTGCATATTTAAAAAATATATATATTTTATTTATTTCAGAGAGAGAGAGAGAGAGAACAAGCAGGGGGAGCTGCAGAGAGAGGGAGAAGCAGGCTCCCCGCTGAGCAGGGAGCCCGATGCAGGATTCAATCCCAGGACCCTGGGATCACAACCTGAGCCGAAGGCAGACGGCCAACCCACGGAGCCACCCAGGCGCCCCTCCGGCTATAGACTGATCTCGAATTCATCCACATGGCTCCGTCTGCCTGTGTGTCCAGCGCCCTCCCCGGCCTCCTCCTGAATGTCTGTGAAGACCACGGGCCCTGGTCTCTCTTCCAGAAAACAGCCAGAGATGGCCCTTCTAGAACAAATCAGGTAACTTCTCTTCTTAAAACCCTTCCCACGTTGGGCGGCCGTGGGAATGAGAAGGAAACCCAGGACCTGGACAAGGCCTTTGAGGCTCCCGCAGACGCTCCGACCTCAGTGGGACCACTCTCCCCACTTCCTTCCTCCTCGCCCGCGGCTGCCAGCTCCCCAACCCTGCGGCAGGCCCCCGTCTGGCCGCCCCCGAGCCCTGAGGTCACCCCGACCCCGCATGGCTTGTCCCTAGCCCTCACGGCTTCACCACCGTGTCTCCTCCCCGGAGAAGATCGCTCCGCTCTAGTTCATTTCACAATCTCACATTTGTGAAAGATACGGCTGGACTGGCACAGGATTTCAGGGCGCTAGGCAAGCGCGAGGCACCAAACAGCGGCCCCCGCACGCGTGGCCACGGACGGGCTTTGAAAGGAGTGTGTGCGCCAGGAGTGCTCCGGGCTGGGTGGGGACAGCCCCGCCTTTTCACTCTGTACCTTCTGCGTCACTGAAGTGCCTTGACGAAAACGCGTGCCATAACTAGAACTTTGGGAAGTCGCCCCACGTTTCGTGGACTCTGTGTTTTGAAAGGCCGTGGCGGCCGCAGTGCATTCATCCATCCAGCCAGTGTGCACCGAGCGGGCAGTGGGTGCCAGGCGCGTGGTAGGCCCCGTGGGGAGCAGAACAGACGTGTGCCTCTGTCCTCGTGCAGCCGGAGCCCCGCCGGGGATGGCAGGTGCCGCCCAGAGAGCTGTGGGTGGCCGTGCAATGAGAGAAACGGAGGCACGGGTGAGAGACCTAAGCCCCAGCTGCTCAGCTGGGCGCCATCACGACGATAGGCAGGCACAGCCCGCGGGAGGCGTGGGGGGCGCAGGGGAGCCTGGAGAAGGGTCTGCCTGGCTCTTCCACTGCCTGTGCAATGGAAGCCACCGGAGGGGCTGAAGCACCTGCCGGCCAGCCCCCGCTGACCTCTGAGAGACCTCCCTGGCTCCATGCAGAGACGGGACTAGAAGGGGTCAGGAGGAGGAGAGAGACCCGTCGGAACACTAATTCAGAACCTCCCAAGTGTTGGGGGCACGGCTGCAGGGTCCGGGTCCCGCCCCGGGCTGCTCTCCCACACCTCTGCAGACTTTCTCGGATTCGGAGACCCCGATTTGGAATCATGTCCGGGAACACCCTCCGGAGAAGGCCTCCGACTCTGGAAAAATGCCCTCCCCCCGCCCCTCCCCCCTCTTTGTGTCTCACCTTCAAACTCAACGTCGAAGGCATCCTGCCCCATCTCCGGGACAGCCCTCAGCGCGTGGCTCTGGGGCGGGACGTACGCGAGCTGGTATTTAGCCTGCGTGGGGAAGCAGAAGAACGCCGGCAGCAAGCTGATGTTGGTGACGAGGTGGTTCAAAGGAGGCCGTTTCCTGGGCACACTGTGGAGGCGAAGGTACATGACGATCACGGAGAACAGCAGCGGCGCAAGGGCCTCGAGCTCGGTGACCAGGGGCTTCCGCTTCTGCCGCAGAAAGGAAAGCGCGTGTTCAGCCGAAGCAGGATGCACGTGTTAAGTGGCCCGGTGCCGAGGCTTCCCCGAGGACAGTTCGCAGAGTTCCAACGGGAACCGGCCCCACTTGCAGAAAGGGGCCCCGTTCTAAGCTGATTTTTTTCTTTCCTCCGTTATTAGAACCCAACCTGACTTCGACATTCAGTCCCGCCCCAGGAGACGCCCATGGCCCCACCCACCTTCAGGGTAAAATTCTTCCAAAGAAGCAGTTTTAAATTCCTGCACATTCTCAGGTGGAGAGGAGGGATCAGCAGCGGCTGGGAAGCAAACCGGGCAGATATCGGTCCTCCAGGAGCTTTCCGAGTGCTGTCCCTACCTTGCTGCTGGCTGCCCCTCCCCTGCACACCTCTCCACACCCCTGTGCCCCGGCTGCACTGATACCCCCAGGGGTGACCTCGCTGGCTCTTTGGGGTTGCAGTGCAGGACACTGGGATGACCTCTGTCTGTCTGTCTGCAGCCTGCACCGGGGTTCTGCAGTGGGCACAGGGCTGGTCCTGCCCCAGCCCCCAGCCCACGTGACTCCACGGCCCCAAACCCCCCTTCCCAGCAGGGGCATGAGGACGTCCGAAGCCCTCCCCGGCTCCTCTCCTTTCCCACTTCTGCCTGCGGCAGGCCTGGCCGTGACCCAGAGGGGACAGAACTGGCTTCAGCTCGTGGCCCGCGCTTGCCCCCCTCAGGCGTCACCCCCACGGAGCCTTTCTTCCTCCCTGTGCAAAATTTCGGAAATGCCACCAGTCTTCCGTGTTCATTCTTCATCGTAGCCCATTTACACCACTGAACACGCTGTTGGTCTGATTTCCCTCTAGAATGCACGCCCCACGAAGGCAGGGAGTTGGGGTGTTTTGCTTTTTTGTGTTTTTTTTAATCTGTTTTTTTGTTTTGTTTGTGTTCGTTCTGCCACCGAGTCAGCAGACCCAAGAGCTGGGCCAGCAGGTGCTGAGCTCCCCGTAGGTGCGTACACACAACTCCAGGCGTTCCGGGTCCACAGCAAGTGTAGGGTCGGGCCTGTGAGGCAGGGCAGGCCAGCCGAGCCGCGAGTTCCTTCCCCTTCATGCTCCTCTTCCCAGGGTCACACGTTTTGACTTCTAGCTCCCACCACGATGCGATTTTCACTTCCATGAAGATGTTTCCGTCGGTGAAAGAATAGGGGTATGCATATTCCTCAGAGAGAAGGCGCTCCGACGCCGCCCGCCGGGAACTGAAGAAACAGTGCTGTGGGCACTAAACGTCGCTGGAGGCGTGCTCCATGAGTTTTTGTAAGATTTATTGATTTGAGAGAGAGAGAGAGAGCATGAGCGGGGAGAGTGGCAGAGGGAGAGGGGGAAGCAGGCTCCTCACCGAGCAGGGAGCCTGACACAGGGCTCCATCCCAGGACCCCGGGATCATGACCAGAGCCGAAACCAAGAGTGCCACACCTAACAGACGGGGCCACCAGGAGCCCCAGAAGGTACACTTTAAAGAGCTTCATTGTGTGATGTGAATTTCACCTCCATAAAAAAAGAGTGACTACAAGACATGATTATATTAGTCAACCTTGGGGGCAGGCTTCTTATCTGACAGCCCCAACCGCAGACATTTACTCCCTGCTCGTGGCCTGCTGCCTCCTGGGTTTGGCTGGACTGGCCTTTAGGCCTGGTTATGGGCTGAACTGTGCCCCCCTCCCCGCCCAGCCGCGGTGTCGAGGTCCTCGTCTCTAGGACCTCAGCCTGTGACTGTTCTGAGAGGCAGGGCCTTTCCAGAGGCGACGAAGGCAAAACGAGGCCGTGAGGGTGGCCTGACTGTGCCCTTAACGGTGAGAGGAGATGTGGGCCAGGGCTGCCGGGCGCAGAGGGAAGACCAGGTGAGCACGAGCCGGGGGCAGCCACCTGCAACCCAGTGGAGGGACTGAACTGGCCGGAAGATCTGACCTTGCCAGCACCTGGGTCTCACACGTCCAGCCTCCAGAAGTAAATTCGTGTGTTTCCAGCACCCGGTCCAGGGTGGTTTGTTAGCGCGGCTGGCAGAGACGCATGCAGGTCTGCTCTGCACATCTCTCATGGCAAGCTGCTCTCGTGGCAAGAGGCCAAGGCAAACCGCACAAATGCATTTCAAGCATCTTCCCACACACACTTGCTAACCATTCCAGTATCAACGCAACAGGGAAGGAAACTGTCCACTCTCATGGGGGCACTGCCGACTTACCCGGCGAGGGGCCTGGGCATCACATTTAATACAGGGGGCTCCATCCCAGAACCCTGAGATCATGAACTGAGCTGAAGGCAGAGGCTTAACCCACGGAGTCACCCAGGCGCCCCCAGGAAGAGACTGTTAAAAATCTAAATATTTCTTCAAATAAACTGTGATGAAATCGAGAAAGTTGTCCAAGAGCCTGCAGAGAAGGACAAGCAGTGATAACTCAAATGGGTGAGTTGTTTTCAACTGCAAGGAACAGTTTGTTCTGATGCTACTCAAACTGATCCATAAACGTAAAGCCAGAAAACGTCCGGTACTTAAAAACCTGTTACTGTAACAGCGATCCCAAACTCTGAGAAGGAAAGCATTTAAAACCAACCAATCCACCACCCAAACAAAAAAACTACAACTCGTTCTCACTGAAGAAAAGACATAAAAGCCCTTGATGAGGTCCATGAGAGGAATAAAACACCATCAACAAATGGGAAATCCGTCCCAGAAATACCAGAATGATTCACTGTTTTCACTATCATGAGATCTGTTGGTGTAATTCACTGTATTTATCGGTGAAAAGATTCAAAACATATTATTGTGTCAATAAATTCCAACAAGGCATTTGATAAAATCCACCATGTATTCCTGGATCTCTCTCTTTTTTTAACCTTAGAAAAAGACTTGCTTATAACGTACTGATACTACGTATACATATGCAGAGCCATGCAGGTCTCCCCCCTGCCTCCCCCGCATTCGCCTGTGCACACGCGTGTGCGCACTCTCTCTCTCCCTTCCAAGTAAATAAACAAGTATTAAAAACTTAGAGCAAGCAGTGAAGGCGCAGAGGGGTGGAGGGGCAGTGGCAGAGGGAGAATCTTAAGGAGGCTCCCACACTCAGCCCAACATGGGGCTTGACCTAACAACTCTGAGATCATGACCTGAGCCAAAATCAAGAGATGTACACTTAACCAACCAGCCATCAAGTTGTCCCTGGGGAGACCTATCACTGCAAAGGAAGAGTCAGTCTGAAGATTTTAATTCTCCTAAATAAATCTACAAATTTTACACAGCACCAATAAAGATTTCAACAAGATTTTAAAAAAACTGATTCAGAAATCCACAGGAAGCACAAAAGTATGAAATAGGGCAAGAAAATTCTGAAAGGGACAGATAACAACCAGAAACTATCCACATTATTAAATTTGTTGTTATATAACTTCATTAATTAAGAGAATATCATACTAGGACAGTAACAGCTCACTAAAAAAAGAAGAATCTATATATATACCAAAGTATTCATGGGAACTTAGTGCAGGATAAAGAAAACATTTCAAATTAACTGAATATTATTAGTAACAGTACTGATTTCTCTATGTTCAACTACCTAGGTGAAACCAATTCCCAGAAAGACATAAACTACCCAAACTCACTCAAGAGGAAATAGGTGGCCTGAAAGTCCTTTATGCGCTAAAGAAATTATATTCATATTTAAAAGCATCCCAAGACAGAAACCATGACTCAGATGGTTTTATCGGCAAATTCTAACAAACATCTAAGGAAGAAATGATACAGATTCTACACAATCTCTTCCACAAAGTAGAAGAAGTAAGCTACTTCCCAACTCATATCATGAGGTCAGCATTACCTTGATACCAAAGCCAGACAAAAACATTACAAGGAAGGCATATAATGATAATAATAATAATAATAATAATAATGTAAGAAGAAAAGTGTCTCTACTCTCAAACGTCATGATTTTCCCAAGAAATCTATTAAAAAAATTCTACAACTGATAGGTGAGTTCAGCAAGGTCCCAGGAGATGAGGTCAATATACAAAAGTCAGTTGTATTTCTATATACTAGCAAGGAACAAGTGGAAACCCAAAGTTTTTTTCAAGGTATCATTTGTGATAATATCGATAAAATGAAATACTTAGAAGTACATCCAACAAAACACGTCCAGAATCTAGACGAAAGAACATTAATGAAAGTTTTTTTTAAATGAAGTAAATGCGAAGATATACCATGCTCATGGACTGTAGACGTCTGTACAAAGACTTCAGTTCCCCCAAACTGATTTTTAGATTCAGTACAATCCCAGTCAAAATCTCTACGGTATCAATGACAGAGATCAACAAGGTGACTTTAAAATTCCCACGGAATGGCAAAGGGACTAAAATAGCCAAAATCATATTGAAAGAGGAACAGAACTGGGGGATACCTCCTGCCTCATTAACATTACACTAACTAAGACAATATAGAATTAGCTGAAGCCTAGGCAGGACAACTATGGCCCGTGGGCAAATGCAGCCCACTGCAGCCCAGCCTGCAAACCAATGGCTGGGAGGACTGCCCTCAACCACAGTGACCGAGCACGAAATAGCTCTGAATTTAGCCTCTACAGTGCCTATTGGGTGAGACTTCTTCTGTCGTATGATTGCTTTGATGACAAAACAAGCAACATCTTCCAAGCTCAGACGACAGCTCCAGCAGTGTTTTCCAGACCTCAGTGTACGTGAAAGGAAATTTTCATTATTTTTTTAAGATTTTATTTATTTATTTGACAGAGAGAGAGAGAGAGATCACAAGTAGGCAGAGACAGGCAGAGAGAAAGAGGAGGAAGCAGGCTCCCCGCTGAGCAGAGAGCCTGATGCGGGGCTCGATCCCAGGATCCTGTGATCCTGACCTGAGCTGAAGGCAAGAGGCCCAACCCACTGAGCCACCCAGGTGCCCCGGAAATTTTCATTATTTTTTAAAATCGGTGTAACTATGTGACTAAGGACCCTCCATCTCACCTTCAGCCGGCTGGGACTAATCTATAATGCAACAACAGGCAACAAGGCAAGTTATGGAGAGGAGTCTAACGGGGTTCGATCAATGCCTTTCAAACCACGAAGACAGTCAACTGAAGTCACAGTCAAGGTGAGATACATAAAATCTCGTGACCGGTCCACAGTGACAGACAAGCATTTACAATAGATTCTGATGGTAGGGAGTACTATCTTTGAACCCTGGCAAAGCAATACATTAACCCATAAAAAAGAACTCCGTTGTTCTCATGAGTAGATCTATGTTGCAAAGAGAAAGTTATATTCAATTATTATATTACTGTCTTAAATAATTTTTTGGAAAAAATATAATAAATTAATACAATTATTAATTTAAATTTTAAATTCAAATTAATATTAATATAAATTAATATAAATTAATGTCTCATATAACAAGGATGTGTATGATACCCTGAAATTTGCCTCTTGGCATGCAAAGCCTTAAACATTTGCCCTCCAGCCCTTTACAGAAAGAGTGTGCCAAAGCCCAGACTAAAATCACACGCAGACCAGTGGAACAAAAGAGTTAAAAAAGAGAGTTTCACAAATACGGTCAATTTTTGACAAAGGTGCAATTCAATGGAAAAAGGAATTATCTTTTTAACAGAGGGTGGTGGGACAAATGGTATCATGTATGGGGAAAAAATCCCCTTTGATCAATACCTCAATCCATTATACAAAATCAGCTCAAAATACAGCAGAGACCTAAGTGCAAAACCTCAAACTCTGAAACTTCTAGGAATAAAACAAAACAAAACAAAACAAAAAAACACTACAGGAGAACATCCCTGAGACCTTGGATTAAGCAAAGATTCCTGAGATACGACACGAAAAGCATAAAAGAAAAATCGGTAAGTCGGGCTTCATTAAAATTAGAATCTTTTTCTCTGCAAAAGATTAACAGGGTGGGAAAGCAAGGCACAGACTGGGGGAAAATATTTGCAAACTGCTTACCTGACAAAGGAGCTCTAACCAGAATATATAAAACTCTCAAAACTCAACAGTAAGAAAATTAACACCCAATTTCTAAAGATACTGACCCAAAGAGGATGTATGTATGGCAAATAAGCCCAGGAAAAGATGTTCAGCATTATGTCACTGGGAAAAGCGAATTCAAACCACAATAAAATACCACGACCAACTACTTGAATGGCCGGGAAAAAAATATTTTTTCAGTGATGGCAAAGTTACAGAGCGACTGGAACTCTTATAAACCAATGGGGCAATGCAAAATGGTGCAGCCGTGTGTTTCTTACGTTTTATTATAAAGCTAAACACACACTTCCATACAATTCAATGATCCTATTCCTAAATTGTTACTGGAATAAAATGGGCATTTTTACTTTCAAACACACACAAATAACATCTCTTATACAAAACCTATATAGAAATTATTACAGAAGGCTTTACTTAAAACCTCCCCCAAACTAGGAACTGGCCCCTTGCTAAGTGCCGAGCATTTTTGAAGCATTCCATATGTTTCCAAGCTTTGAATTCTCACGGCAATCCCATGAAGTGAGTACTATGTGCTCCCTGCTTTAGGCAAGGGAACCAAGGCACGAAGGGGTTACGTGAGGCATTAAGGGCTGGGATTCAGTTCGAGGCTGTGTGGCCAGAGTCCACAAGCAGTTTTAACCACTACAATATTAATGCTTCTCCATTGCTGAACGAAGGAGTATGGTACAGCCCTTGGTCTAGGACGAAGCCTCCAATTATAACATTGTTCCTATGGAAACAATCAGAGAAGCTGTCTTCTGAAATTCTGCATTGAATACCACCAACGTGGGCACTGCTGTACAAGAACGTACAGATCTATAAGCACAGACAGATACAGATGGAAAGGGAGATAGTATTTGTGTCCTTGCAAAAGAAATGGGAGCTGACATATTGGTTCCATTTTTAAAAAGCATGGAGTGTGTACAAGTGTATATCTAAAGATGTCAGCCAACTTCTGCAATGACAAGGTTTACTGCCTTTTGTACAGCCCTATGTTTTCCTTGAGCATCACCTTAATTTTTGCCATCAATCTTGAGAAATGTCTGAGCCATGGGAACCCCAAGGAGTATCCTCTTAATGAATGACCTGGCATGTTTTCACACTACGTTTGAGTGTGAGTAATTTACCTCCCAGAGACTGTCAGGAGTCCAGGAGCCGGAACATGGGAACACCTGGGCTCCAGGCCCACGTCTACTGTGTGACTTTGGATAAATTATCCCCCTTAACTGGGCCTCCACTTGGAAGAATACCAGCTACACCATCTAGGTTTAGTGAGCCTTGAGCAAAAGAGTGACTGTTGAGGATCCATCCGAAGAGCTCACCCCTTGTGGGCAGTCATTTGTGACCAGGTGTCTGGAGCCTAGAATGTTCCCACAGAATGTCTTCCTTCGCCAGTGGCCTTGTACCCTCTAGCTTCATGATTGCGGTGACTAATCATAATTACCACACAGGCACCCTCACAGGGTCAAAAACAAAGGTTCATTCACTACTCTGCAGGCGTCTCTCTTGATCAAGCAGTCCTTCCATCTGATCCCCACCTTCACCTTCCATCTGAGGGAAGCCCGACCCAGCCCCGCTCCGTTCCTGGATTGGGTCACGCAGAACCCTTCCAGGTTTAGAAAGGGCTGGGGGGGAATTGCAAGGTGGAACCAGTATGAGTTGGAGATGGCAAAGACTGGTTCTGGAAAGAGGAAAGAGTGAGGAAAACGCCGGTCAGCGAGGTTCATAGAGTTTCCCGGCGGACACCTGGGCTGGGAGGGAGGGGGTGAGGGCTGTGAGCGACGATGGGGAGAGACGGTGTTTTAAGATGCTCACCACACATTAATAATCCACTCCTCCACCTCGACTGTAACTGTTTTCAGTTGGGTTTTCCGTTGTTGGGTTTGGGGGTTTTATTTGCTTCACGGCTGTCTGCTCCGTGAAGACCAGGCTGGTAAGCCTCCGCTAGGCTCACCGGGGACTACCACTTCCTTAGTGCTTATGTGTCAGGCATCAGGATAAGAGTTTACTCGTTTTCCCATTTGACCCGAAAACAAAATCCTTCTGAGTTTGGTACTATTACTAGTCTATTAGCATCCTGATTTGAGGGACAGGAGATGGCGGCTCAGAGCTGTCAAATGACACACCCGCACTAGTCCAGCGGCCGGGTCCAGAGCAAAGCCAGGACATCTGACCCCTCATTCAACAAATATTTACCGGGTGCCTCCTCTCTGCCAGGCACTCCAGGACCCTGAGATGTCGCGGTGAGCTAGACAAGTCCCTTTCCTCATGGAGCCCACCTTCTGGTGAAGGAGACAGAGGGAAGAGAGGCCAACAAAAGCCCACGTAAACAGCACCGCTTCAAACGGTAACAGGGAGACCCTCTATAGCTAATCCGGAGTCTTGGGGGGGGCGGGGACCGAAGCTTCCCTACTCGGGTCATTACTTTACGGTTGGATCAGCCGCGTCCTGGTCGCGGAGGTGCGCGGGGCGCGGCAGGTGCGGCCGCCCCAAGTGCGCCCCGGGAAGCGCTGACGCAGCTAGCGGCAGGTGCGCCTGTGCCGGGGACGATCCCGAGCCGTAGGCCCGTGGCAGCGCTCAGTCCGGGCGCTGGGGACCCGAGGGGGCCGGCCCGCGGCGACTGTTGGCCCCGCGCCGCCGCCGCCCACGAGACTCCAGCCCAGGCCCCTCGCCCAGTCCCGCCCCGCCCCTGCAACGCGACCTCACCGCCCCCCAGGTGACCCCAACCCGGCCTCGGGACCCTCCGGTCCCAGCTGATCCCTGCCTGGTCTCGTGACCTCTCCGCAGCAGGTGATTCTGCCCCACCCATGGTGGCCGCAGCCCAGCTTCAGGCCCCTCTCCGCTGCAGGTGCCCCCCCTGACCTGTATCCCTCGCGTCTGACGTGGCCCCGGCCCAGGCAGAGCTCCCCACTAGCCCCCGTGAAAGCAATGAGTCACTGAGCCTCGTCAGGGCACACGGATTGTGCACACGCCAAACCACGGCTGGCAGACCAGGCCCGCGCGCGGGGCGGGGGACGTCGCGGCGCGGCAGGCAGCCCGGACCGCGGCGCGCGGCCGGTACAACGCGGCCCCTCTCGGCGCTCGCCTCCCGCCAACCCGCGCCCGCGGTTCCCGCTTCACCGTTCGCAGCGGCACCAGCAAGAAGCGACCCCGGTCAGGCTAGCCCTGCGAAACAGGACGACCCTAAGCTCTGCCCCAGGACCAGACCGGCTCTGTCCGCCCAGGGGCCCCGCAAGGCTCGTCTCCGTCTGTTTCTGATTTTAGAAACCGTAACCCACGACCTCCCAGCTCAGGTGGCCCCCACCTGGCCTCATGGCTCCCAGGCCCTCCCGCCCTTCTGAACTCCGCCCCGTGACCCTGGACACACCGCAGGATGCTGGGCTTTCCAACCCGCCTGGCCATTTTCTAGAAAGTTCCGCACCCTCCACCCCGCACCCCTGGGCCTCCCCGCCCCCCGGCAGTCCGCACCAGGTCCGAGGGGGCCAGTCGCCCTCCCTCGCGACACAGGGGACCGCGCCCAAAGAAGGACAGTGCTGGAGGGAACGGCCGGGGCAGGCGACTGCTCCAGCGGGCAAAGGGCAGGTGGACGCAGCCCCGCCCCGCCCTGGGGTCCGGCGCCCCCTGCCGGCCGTGCGGCGGCGCGGGGGGCACTGCGCAGGCGCGGGCGGGGCGGGGCGGGGCGGGGCGGGCCGAGGCGGGGCGTCGGGCGGGCCGGGCACCCGCAGGGCTGGCCCACTGCGCACGCGCGAGCCGGCCGGCGCGCCCCCTGCAGGAGCCTGCGCCGGCGGGTCAGCGCCGGCTCCTGTTTGCAGGCGCCCCCTCCCCACCCGGCTGCCCAGCCGCTGTCAGCACGGGCCGTCGGTGTCGCCGCCGCCGCGAGGCCGAGCGCAGCCGGGCCCGAGGCAGGGGACCCCGCGAGAGGGCAGCGCGCCGGCCGCCGCCGCCCTGGCGCCGAGGGTCGGTGAGTGCCGCCGGGACCCGCCGCGTGCGCTCGCTTGCTCCCGGGGCTCGCGGCTCCGGGCCGCCCTCCTCCCGGCCGTCCTGCCCCCGCGGCCGCATCCCGCTCGACCGGCCTGCTCCAGACCCCCCACCCCCTCTCCCGCGTGCCGCCCCGCCCTGCCCAGCAGGTGCACCTCGGCGGGGCCGCAACGCCAGGCCTCCCTGACTCACGCTTGCCCTCCCGCCGGGCCTCTGGGCGTGTCCCCCTCCCCGCGGGCGGCTTCCTCCGCGAACCCCGGAGCTGGACGCTCCGCGGCACCCTTTGTGCCGAGCCGGGAGGGTGGCCCTGTTGGCATTCGTCCGGCAGGCAGGCACTCGGGGCGCCCGCCTGGTAGAGCCTTGCAGCCGCCAGGCCGGGAGCGCGGAGCAGGGCCGCTGGGATGCTGCTGGCTCATCCCTCGTGCAGATTTCCCGGGTGGGTGGGAGTGCTTCCCACCCCGGAGTCCGGCCTGCGCCCAGCCCTTCACTCCCGGGAGCCAGAATTGGGGCGGGGGTGCAGTGCTCCAGTGCTCGTGGTGGGAGCTCTGCGGCGGGCAGAAAGGCGGGGACGCTTGGTCTAGGTGGAGAGGCCTGCAACAGCCCTCAGTAACCTCTGGGGTCCGTGGTCAGTGGGTCCGTGGTGTGAATTTGCGTTTACAGGGGTTTCGGCATTCACACACTACGCTGTAGCCTCATGAGGGCAGGGCCCGTCTCCTGTACTTGGTGCACACTTGGTGTGCGAACCAGAACCCCCAACCTCACTTCCTTGGACGTGGCCTAAAGAAAGCCCATTGCCTTATCGGGTATTTGTTTGTTGACCCCTCTGCCTGCTGCGCTGTGAGCCCACTTACTGGCCGGCCTGGGTCTGGTCAGGGCTTGGGTTCCCAGAACAGAGCCCGAGCCTGGCACAGAACGGGGGATGGAGAAACGCTTGTTGAATGGGTGGCTGACAGCCCGTGACAGAGCGGGGACCCGGGCAGGGTGCAAGTGAGTCAGGCTGGCTTTTTTCTCCTGAGCAACGGTGTCATTCAATTCTGAACAGTTGGTGCTGCCTTGGGTAAACTTGAAAAGATTAAGGCTCCTTTCCTCTAGAAAGATTGCATCAAGGGAAGATAAGAAAAATGGATGCCTTGGGAATCCCCTCGCTCTTCTTCTTCTTCTTCTTTTTTTTTTTTTTAATTGCACACTTGGTCATATTTGACACACAGGATGACATCGTTCCATCTCTGGTGATCTCCCGTCATGCTGATGAGACAGTCGTTTGCAACAGGAGAGATCAGCTCTGGGGGCTTTTTAAAAAATACTAGCCTTACAAGGTGCATGTGCCGGTCTCATGGGAACCTGTTCTGACTTACTCTAAACTGGGAAGGCCCAGGAAGACTCCCCACTTGACTATCTCTTCTCCATCCCAGCTTCCCAAGACAACAGTAGACTCGTCTGCTAGTGAGTCAGTGGAGGGAAAGAAAACATTCTAGAACTCAGGGGAGACGGATGGGCAAGACTCTGGGCATGATGGAAAGATGAACTGGATGTGGTCCCTGCTCTTGGGGACCTTAGGATAGAGCTAAAGAGAATGATTGATTCATGAGTAACTGTAGCATCAGACAGAATGAGACAAGTGCCCCTCGAGACATCAGAGAAGCTGCTTCCAACTTGTTGGGACGGCTTCCAACAAGAGCAGAAGGTCTCAACCCTGGCTGCATGGTGGAGGCATCCCGGGGCAGGTCCCATGACCAGGCCAGAGCCCAGAATCTTCGGGGGGCAGGCCTCGGATGTCAGCTTCTGTCTTAAAGCATCCCCCCCCCAACAGAAGATTCTGTTGTGCAGCCAGTGTGAAGAGCCCCTGGTCTGGGGTTATCCGGGCCTGCTTCCACAGCAGGACTGGGACTGGACTGGGAAATGATATTGCAAGGAGACAAAACCCCAGGAGGCCCAGGCCCCCTTGGGAAAGCATAGGGCATGTCAGCCCCTGTCCCCCGGAGTGGCTCAGGTTTGGAGTCAACAGGCAGACTGGTACCTTTGCAGGAGCTGAGTAATACGCGTGCTGCAGAAACCCATGGTTACCTGTCCCCAGAGATCCCCAGTCGCCTCATTACCTCCTTTCCTACACCCAGAGAGGCAGAGCAGCTTGCAGGACAGGAGTGGTACCGAGGCTCCAGCCAGGGTGAACAAAGCAGGAGGCAGCACAGATTTTGTGGAAATCTCTCCTCGTAGCTTCCCTTGGGCCACACCCCTGCCTTAAAAATGCATCCCCCCAGCCCCTGTGAGGAGCTTCATTGTGAACTCAGAGCCATATGACCCCAAGGAGACAGCTGTCCCAACCCTGGACAGGGCAGGTGGTGGTGGTGAACGTGAGGCCAGCAAACCAGGTCTCTGGCTCGGCCTCTGATACAAGCGACCACAGCCTTGAACCCAGCCTCCTGGGGCTCCCGGACAATGACCAGGCCTCACAGATTTGTTCCCACCTCATCCGTGCAAGGGCCGCTGTGTAAATACGTTGTCCACAAGCTTTTTCTTGCACGCTGCTATGTGTGAGAGAATTTGAGTTTGCACCCCCATATGTTTCATTTAGTTATTTATAAAATAAAGCCGTGTACTACCATCCCAAATATGGGCACAGAAACACACACACACACACACGGACCTTTTAAAGGGACAAGAAGCAAAGTGAACACGGTCACGTTGTCCAGCGTATTACTGCCACTAGGTCAGCCATTAAAACACAGGCTGTTTTAATTTTTTTAAGTAGTCTGTATGCCCATCATGGGCTCAAACTCAACATCCCCAGGAGCAAGAGTCACACACCCCAGTGACGGCGCCAACCGGGTGCCCCATCCCGTATGCTGTTTTTCAAAGAAAGCCGTGTGAGCGAGCCTGGACCCCATTTATAAAGTCCCGGTGAACCCTGAGTCCTTGTCTGAAGGTCTGGTTCCGGGTTCTGTTTATTTTCAGTTCCGGGTTCTGGCAGTGTCGCGGGTAGACCGCACGACCCTCGTGAAGCCACACAGACTGTGCTGTGAGCCCAGGACTTGGCTTTCACTCACTCCCACTCGCCAGTCCCGCAAGGGCTCTTGCTGCTTGGGCGAGGGGTGGGGGGTGCTAAGCGTTCAGGGGCTGCTGGTGCAGGTGGAGCATCTGGCCTTGGGATGCTCTTGGCATGTGAGTGTGCGTGTGCGTGTGCCTGTCGATGGCGCTGCCCCCGGGCTCCACACACCCCTTTTCATAAATGCTCTATTCCTAGCCCAGGGTATTTCGAAAAGCCGCAACTCTCACTCATTGCCACCTTTTCTTGAAGGCACAGAATTGAGCGTTTCAGCTTAAAAGATAGGAGCTAGCGGACACGCAGCAGCAGTCCGTTGTCATGGAGAGAAAGGAAAAGGACCTCCAGATCTGGAAGATTCGTTGAAAGAAAATACATATTTCCGTCCTAAGTTCCAAGTCCCAAGACGACCGTGATCCCTCCTGTCACCAGGGGTATTCACGGTCACTTCCCAAATCCCTACGAAGCACCATAACGCTTCAGCCGTGATTTTGTGTGTTTTCATTCCACCTGAACATCCTGTCCTGCGTCCCGTGAAGTCCGGCATGCGTGCGAGGCTTAAACTAAACCAGCGGCCGAGGGCCACCATCCCTGCCAGGGTGCGTGACCGCCAACAAGCCAGCAGGCGTGCCAGAGTCCCTCCTTACTGAATGTCAGTAAAGCCAACTTCCCCCTCATTTCTGGAGAAAAATGCTTCTGAGTGCCGTTTCTCACCATTCCTCTCCTCCAGCAGATGGTGTCGCGCAGCCCGCTTGGAGGCCAGGGGTGGGCCTCGCTGGCGGGCACCACGCTCTGTAAACGTGCTGCTTTCAGCCTGTGCTGTACAGCACGGACTGGTATTTTGACTTTGCCTGTGCAGAATCCACTGAAATAGACATTTTCACATGTTTCCTTTGCACCCCCCAAACTCCCTCCCCTGAAAGAAGAGACCATATCATGTGCTGGGAAAACAATCAAACCCCCAAAAAATCACCTGGAGGGCGGCATTACTGCCCGTGTGGAGGCCCTCCCCCTTCTTGGCACAGCATCCAAGGCCTTGGTCGGCTTCCCTTTCTGACTCATTCCCCGCTGCTCCCTGACCAGGTGCTTGGAACCACCAGCTGTTTCCTGCACATGCTCTTCTCCGCCCCTCCCGGCCACCGGGACACTGGACATTGGTCTCCTGTGTCACCCACTCCCCGGAGCCTTCCCAGAGCCTCCCCCGTGTCATACGTGTGCACGCACACACACATGCACACACACGCGACTTCTGTCCTCTCCAGAACCTCACGCTGCCTCCTCTGGCTCGGGCTACGGCACTCACGGAACACGGACGTGTTCGCGGGCTGTGAGCATCTTGGGTCGGGCACGTTACGATTTCCATTTCCACGCCGTCAGCACCTCTCGCACAGCAAGCACCGGGCAGGTGTCTGCGGGAGGAATCAATGCCTTCCTGTCTTGCGTGTCGTAGAAGACCGCAGATTCTACCCACAAGCGTTAAGTACTTATCTGGAGTGGACACAAGTGGACCCTTACTACCCCTCACTGTTGTGGACTCCCCGGATCGATAAGGAGATGATTTCCCAGCTGAACGGGGTCCTCACCAATCTCGGTCCTCAGGAAAAGCACCAAGGCCTGGCCAGCACCACCCATAAGGCCCTGTCTCTATTCCACGCCCGTGAAAAGAGGGCAGAGCTGGGCTTGTCTGACCCCGCGTGACGTGTGGAGGCCTGGCTTTGTGGAGACCCCTCATGTGGGACTGTGGGGTCGTGGAGACCCCATGCCATCCTCCAGGCCCGGACAGACTCAGGCGTCCCTGGAAGGAGATGCACTGAGCTTGGGATGTGACCTAACAGGGTCACCTAACAGGGTGCGTACCCTGCACCAGACCCTGTCCATGTCCACTCGCTGGCCTCGAGGCCTCCTTGGAGGCGACTTCTCTAGAAGCGTTAATGCCCCTCTGTTCCTCATATGCTGAGACAAAACCCTGTTTGGTGTGGGCACATGGACAGTGGACGACAGGTTCAAGCCAGTAATGAAAAAGCCACTGGTGGGGAAGTGGAGGTATCTGGGCTCTGAGCGTGTACCCCAGCGGCCGTGGGTGCTTCCCACTGGTACGATCCGTACCTCTTGAACTCATGGAAGTTACTGGAAAAGCCCTCATCGGAGGAATCCTGTGTGTCACCACAAGAGCTCCCCGAAACCAGCAGGCCACAGGCCACAGGACGCACTCACTCTGGACCAGTTCAGTCGTTCAATTAAAAAGCAAACACTGAAACACTCCACACTTTGTGTAATGTTTAATATTTTAACACTGAGCAAACAAGCCTTTTAGGAGTGGTGGGGGTGGGGGGGAAGCTTTCCCTTCCCTTCCTGTCTCTGTCCCTGAAGGAGTGAAGTGAGTCCTGGAGGGGAAGTCCTCAGCCGCTCCTGTGGGGCGGAGGCGGCGACTCCGCAAGTGGCCCCCGCCTGAGTGTTTGCCTTAGAGTAGGAGGCGCGAGGCTGGCTCTGCCTGGCGGTCATCCCCTCTTCTGCAGACCCTGGACCTCAATGTGAAGTGTTTTGAGGAACTTTCAACTTCCTGTCCTCATTGTACATTTGCTTTCATAACCACAAAGCTGTCTAGATTTTGTAATTCTGGGAATCGCCTTTGAATTCTTTTCTGCTCAAACAGAACAGATGCGGGGAAGGCGTGCGGGGGGACTTGGGCTGCAGCCTGGCACGCACGAGGCAGCCAGCCGGGTGCTGGAAGGAGGCCGAGGAGTACCCCCGCAGGTGCCGGGGCGCAGGGAAGAGTTTCTCTTGTTCGTGTCTAACGTGACACGGTGGGAGTAACGCATACAATTTTTTGAAGGTTTACTACTTTTCGGATGACACAGGGCTAGAAACGTGTCCTGGCTCGCGGCTTTCTTGCTGTGTGACCGGGGCCGGGTCCTTCTTCCTCCTTTCTTCGTGCTTAAGAGAGCGGTGATGGCAGAAACCAGGGCTGGGTGAGCCTGTCTAACGGGAAAGTTCCTTATATTTCCACGTATCAGTTGGGAACAAAGTCCCATCCCCTACAGTCTGTTTCCCTGCATCCGTATTTCTTTGTTGTCGGATCTGCTCTGTTTCAAGTCACACACTTGCGATCTGTTCACTTTCTAACTTGGTAAAAGGGTTTTTTTGTTTATTTTCCAAATTATGCTCTAGCGCCGTCCCTTTGCCCAGAGGTGCTGGGAGAGTCATGCCAGCGAGTCCCGGGCCCCTCCTGATGTCCCGTGAGGCATCCGTCACCCCGCTGCACTCAAGAGGCCCACAGGCCCCACCCCAGGGCCCTGGTCACAGAACTGCCTCCTTTCGGCCAGTCCTGCCATAGCCCCAGAGGGCGACCACGGCCAGGAGCCTCTCCCAGGACCCAGGTCAGTGCATGGGGGCTACTTGGCCTCATAGGGACTCTGGGAACACGGTCTGTCTTTCTGTCCTCCCCACTCCTCGGGCCAGAGAGACAAGAGTAAGCACAGGGATGTGTCCTTTCCTGGCCAGACTTTGCCAGAAGTCCGACCAGTGGTCTCATTTGAGCTGTGACCTTTTTATATTTCCCTCTCAGGAAAGGAAGAAGGTTCACCCCGGCCAGGCCAGGGCGCATCGTGGGGATGGCGGGCCCGGCGAGAGGCACTGCCTTCCCCTCTTGGCTTGAACCACTTCTAGAAACCTTTTAAAAACCACAGGTCCTCGTGGGTCTTATTTCTTTTTATCCTTTTATTATATGTGTGTGTGTTTATGAACTGTACACAGCTGATTTTATGACACTTTATGCACCTTGTGAATTTTGGAAGAATTTGGAACATTTATTAAGTGGCTACTTAATAACGTTTCATTCTCCTTTAGCTTTAATCTCTTCACATTTTAAAAATGTGGTTAAGTACAAGCATATTTTAGGTTAATTTGTAAAAAACAGTTATGTTCTCTACGAGTATTCACTGAGTACCCTTTAACGCGAATTCTGAGCAACCGTCATCCGACAGGGACGGCCACATCTTTTCTAAAAAAGCAAGAGTTTAATTTTAAAAAGAGCTTCCATGGAAATGACTTGTAACCCACTGGGGCCAAATGTAAAGTTGGTCTTTGGAAAAAATCGAAGAGCTCTCACTCAAGGCAGGTCCTCCCGGCCGTGTAGTCGGCGTGCCTGCGTTCACTAAGGGTCGCACTCCCTTGACCTGCCTGGTGGGCATCGTGGGGCTGCGGAGCGCTGACCCTTCCAGGTGCATCACACAGGCTTCTCCCCCCTTGCAGGACCGTGAGCACCAGGGGACTCTCTCCACTCCCCCCCCCACCGCCGCGCCCTCGCCTCCGTGTGGTCGGGAACCAGCAACTCTCGGGAGAGGGGCCCGCCACCTCCGCCACTCACGTGCCCACCCTGGGTGGGCGCAGCCCTGTCTGCCCCCAGCCTTCATGCCCGCAGCCTCAGGCACACGGTGCTTCCATGTCCTAGGTCCCTTGGGGTCTTCCTGAACTCATTCAGACCACCTCCTTCTGCAGCAGGTGAGTGTCTCACGCACACGGGGCTCTGTGTCTCTGCCAGGTTTAAACACAAGACCTCTACGTGACATGGGGCAGATTTTCTCTTGGGGAAAACGACCGCTGTCACGTGGAGGCCGCATACCAGCCCTCATGGTTAAAGCAGGAAAAACTGGTCCTGAGAGTTCTTGGTAGGAGAGCAAGGGCCATCATTCCACCCATGTGTCTGCCCACCACGTCCTGTCCGTGGGTCAGCCCTGCTGCCAAGGGCCCCCTCCCGGGCCTCTCTTCCCCGCCCCGCAGCTCTCTGCCAGCCAAGTCTGCTTTCACCACAACCGTGGCCGTGGCCAGGGTGGCCAGTTGGTGGGGAGGGGCAATGCGCAGGGAGGAAGCACGTTCATCCGGACCACAGGGGATGCCTGCGTGGGTTTACAGCAGCGTGAGTGCCCCACCAGCAGCATGTGGCGCTTAGAGCCCATCACTGAGGGTGCGTCTGGGGAGGAGGCGAGCCACTGCCTAGCAGCGCACTTTCTCCATTGAGCGGACGGAGCCGAGCTGGTGTCTTTCTCTGGTGGCAGCCAGGAGTTGGGGACGCGGGAGGAGGCCTTGTGTCTGAGGGGTGTCTCCCACCCCGGCCCCCAGGTGCACTGCGGCTGCCTCCCCAGCCTCCCGGGCAGCCCGAAGATGGCCGTGCTCCGGCAGCTAGGGCTCCTGCTCTGGAAGAACTACACAGTGCAGGTAGGCGCGCGCCCCAGTGTGGCCAGGCCCCAGGAGTGGTGTCCTGAGGGCAGGTAGGCACGCGCCCTGGTGTGGCCGGGCCCTAAGAGGGGTGTCCCGAGGGTGGGCCCAGGGCCCCCCACTCCCGACCTCGTGATCCCCGAGCCAGAGCCTCCCCTTCCTCTTCCAGAAGCGCAAGGTCCTGGTGACCGTCCTGGAGCTCTTCCTGCCCTTGCTGTTCTCGGGGATCCTGATCTGGCTCCGCTTGAAGATCCAGTCGGAAAATGTGCCCAATGCCACCGTCTACCCCGGCCAGTCCATCCGGGAGCTGCCCCTGTTCTTCAGCTTCCCCCCGCCGGGCGATGCCTGGGAGCTCGCCTACGTCCCGTCCCAGAGCGACGCTGTCAAGACCATCACGGACATGGTGCGGAGGGCGCTGGTCATCAACATGAGAGGTGACGTGTGTTCGGGGTCCCGTCCTGTCCAGCTGTGGGGGAGCGACCCCGGGAGAGCGCCGGCGGCCAGACTCAGCATCTGCCCTTGTTGGCGGGCCACTCTTTTATTTATTTATTTATTTTTTAAATTTGTATTTATTTATTTTTTTATTTGTATTTATTTGTATTTATATTTATTTTATTTATTTATTTGACAGACAGAGATCACAAGTAGGCAGAGAGGCAGGCAGAGAGAGAGGAAGGGAAGCAGGCTCCCCGCGGAGCAGAGATCCCGATACGGGGCTGGATCCCAGGACCCTGAGATCATGATCCAGGCCGAAGGCAGAGGCTTTAACCCACTGAGCCACCTGGGCGCCCCTGCCGGGTCACTCTTTATAAAATGGGACCAGGCTTGTGAGGGCCAAGTGGAGCCACGTGGGCGACTACTGGAGTGTCCCGGGCTCTGGAGTTGCCCCCCAGTTCATGGTGGGGACAGCTCTGGAATTCCATGGGTCATCCCAGAACCCTTCCTGGGATGTGCTTTTGTGGGGACGGTTCTAGAAAAAGGCATTGGGAAGCACGTTGAGCGAAATGTCTGGTACACACAGCTCTCTGTCCCCTGGCCTCGCGCTTTGCTTCCAGGATAAAAAGTGTTTGCGCTTTTCCCGCCTCTTCTTTGGCATAGGCCACCTGTGGTCTGTTGAATGCCACGTGGCAAAGGCTCAGGGGAGGCTCTCCACCCTTGTGGAGCGATGACAGGAAAGCCCTTTACATGGCGTGAGGTCTGGTGATAGAGAAACCGTGTGACGTACGACATTAGTGTCCACTCCCAACTTCAAGGCACCCCACATCGCCCGAGACAGAGGCCACCTGGTGCAGGGAGGCCAACGTGGAGGGTGTGGACCAGCCCTGCCCCCAGCTCTCCCCAGAAACCCTGCCCGCTGATGGCGGTTGCCTCCCGTCTCCTCAGCAGCCAGTCTCTCTGCCCACCTCCGCGAAAGCCTCCTGCACTCTGAAGACAAGGGTACAAAGCCCTAGAGAAACCTGAACATTTGCCGTCTTTACTGAAAATGATGTGAAATGGCCTGATTTCCAAGTAGAATAGGCGCTCCGGTAACTCTCGGCTCCCCCACAGCTCGCGGCTTTCCCTCCGAGAAGGACTTTGAGGACTACATCAGGTACGACAACCACTCCTCCAACGTGCTGGCTGCCGTGGTGTTCGAGCACACCTTCAACCACAGCGCGGAGCCCCTGCCGCTGGCGGTGAGGATCCCCCCACAGAGCCCCTCCGCTCCCCATCCCCTCGGCCCACCTGCGGGGCAATGCCTGGCTTGGCTGCGGGGCCCACATCGCCGGCTGGGTCCCCACGAAGGGTGCCCTGCTGCCACTCTAGTCCGTCGGGCCCATGCCGCTGGGAAAGCCAGGAGAAGGCAGCCAGCCGCCCACTGCAGAGCCCGTAGTCCTCTGGTGCGTCCCCTGTGCGCTGTCAGGTGGGCAGAGGGGAAGGGAGCGGACTCCAGCAGTAGAATTTCAGTGATTTAATTCACAAGAAATATTCCTGCCTAATGCCATCAAGACCAGGAAATGATGCAGCTCCTCTAGCATTATTCTGGGGACCCTCCCCTGGTGATCAGGGACACCTCAGGCACAGAGTTCCTGGAGGTGGACGGCAAGATGGGGCTGGCGAGAACACCCCGGGGACACACCGCGGGGCTCCCTGTCCCCGCCCAGGGCAGGGCTGTCGGTGTGATGCTCCGGGACCCCGTGGACCTTGTGGGGGGTTGCGGGGGTGGGGAGGTCACGGTGACGAGCCCCTAACCTGTATCTCATTGGACACAATGTTTGCTTCTCTGTCTGGAGCCCTCAGGGCAGGCGGTTTTCTCTTTGTTGCTGTAGGTGAAGTACCACTTACGGTTCAGCTACACTCGGAGGAACTACATGTGGACGGAAACAGGCTCCTTTTTCCTGAAAGAGACAGAGGGCTGGCACACCACTTCGCTCTTCCCACTTTTCCCAAACCCAGGACCAAGGGAGCCCGCGGCCCCCGACGGTGGAGAACCTGGTGAGAAGCCGCGGCCGTGCCCCCGGCCCGGGCTGCTGACGGGGGACGGTCACGGGGAAGCCCCACCTTGCTTCTCTTCGCAGAAGTATCTCTTTAGGGCTGTTTGGTCTTCTTCCCTGTCGAGGGAAAGCTGGCTCTGGCGGGTTAAAACACTCCCAAGTCCGCAGAGGCACTTCCCTGCCTCCCGGGGACGTGTGGTCCCAAAGGAAACCTGCGTCTCAGTCTCAGAGAGGCTGCAGTTGGCGTCGCATCTGTGGGGTCGGCCTCACACCTCCCTTCCCTCCCTGGCCTTGGCTGTGTGCACTCGTACGGGCTTCGGGGGCTCCGTGGTCCTGGAGCAATTGTCCGGGGTCTGACTGCGTGAGCGGGGCGCTGGCAGAAGCTGGCTCCTGGCTAGCTGTGCCCCTCAGCGAGCGTGTCGGTCTGTCCCATGAGGCCTGGGCAGGCAGCGGCATGTGCGTCTCCTCCAAAGCCCGGCTGCCCTTCTGGGACGGAGCTGGGGGTGAGCCGGGCCCCCTCTGTGGGTCCCGGGTGGCAGCAGGGTGTTACGGAGAACACGGGATCCCACCATCTGCAGGAAGTAGAGTATGTTTGTGTTTTGGTGGAAAGAACCAGGAATGTCCTGAGACGAAGCGCCAGGCGGCCAGGCTGGCTGGCAGGAGGAAGGGAGGCGGGGGCCAGTGTTTAGAGACCGTGGCCAGTGCCTGGGGCCCGCAGCAGGAGAGACCACCCGCCTGTTCGTGAGGACCCTTTCGCTAGGTACAAATTCGAAATTTGCCTAAAAAGGAAAACCAAGTAGGAGCCTAAGGAAAACGTTCCAGCCGATGACCAGGGTCCACGTCTTTTTATGTGGAAGACTCGTTAGTCCACACCAGTTTGAAGCACACACAGAGGGCCTGAGCCGTGGCAGGGACGTGGGCCAGGCACACGGCACATGCTTGGCAGCCACCGCTGATGCAGCCGTAAACGTCTGGAACCTGAGGGAGCCATGGTCGCCCCTGTGTTGAGGTGGGGGGGCCGTACTGCTTCTCTCTTCTAGGGACTGGGACACAGCCTGCTGGCCTTTCCGTGTTAGAGATGTTGCATATCTTAAAGGTCCCAGTATTTTTTGAACAAGGGTGCCTGTGCCCATGTGCCCGTCTGTCCTCTGCTCGCCTGAGGCTGTGCCCGCTCCTTCCTCAGGCTCCCCATGGCAGGCTGGGCTCTGGACCGGGATCCTCGCCCCCAGTCGGTCACTCCTCCCAGGCCCGTCTCACTGGCAGAGTTTTGTTACAGGGCACGTGGCAGGGGCGTCAGAAAGGGCCAGCACAGAGAGCGCAGCAGCTCACAGCTCCGAGTACTGGCCTTTGGACTGTGATGCCTGCCTCCCTTCAAGGCGCTAGCGCTGGGGGATGGAAGTAAGGCTACTACTCAGCGGGCCTCGGGATAGTGGGTTACTGTTGAGTATCCTGGGGGGCTCGATGTCATCACCGAGGTCCTCCAAAGTGGACGAGGGATGCAGAAGAGAGGGCCAGACAGATGCCGCCTGGTTGGCCTTGGCGGTGCGGGAGGAGGCCGTGAGTCGGGAGATGAGGATGACCCCTACAAGCCAGAAGACCGGGGTGCC